GCTTTTAATATTCGATAATTTATATATATTTAGTATATTCGCTAAAGCAATTTAGCTCCGTAATATTACGTAATAGCTTTTTACGCTTTAAATCGAAAATATAAATACTAATATCCGGCTAATCGTTTACGGATTACCTTAGAAATAATTTACGCTTTATTTCCGGCTAATTCGGATTTGCGGTAAAAATTACGAAAAATATAAATTTACCTAAAAAACGCGCTATAGCTATAAAATTTTAATAATAGCGGTATATATTTTATAAGCTTCCGATATAAAACGTAAGCAAATAAATGCTTTTAATACCTATATTATTTAAATTAAAATAATCGGACGCAAAAATATTTTTAAAGCTATTACGGAAATTAATACGGATTTTATTTTAATAATTCTTAATATATTAAAAAGCGTTTTATTTAGTAATAGCCTAAATATTAATTATAAATTATTAAAATAGCCTTTTATACGTAAATAGGACCGATTAGCCTTTTTTTTAATAATAAAAATAATACCGGAATTATTTGCGTATCGTAATTATATTCCGGGCCTTTTTTGCCGGGCCGCGCTTATTTAAGCCTATTTTAAACCTTTTGCTACCGTTCGGCTATATTAAAATATATATAAACGGTATATATAATAAATATTTTATAAAAAAATTTTTTAACGCGAATTCGCTAAAGCTATATTTAGCTAAAATTACCTTACGCTAACGTTTAAATTCGGTATAATTTAAAAATATATTAGCGATATTATTAATAACCGGAAGATTTTTACGCCGTCGATCCGCGTTTTTTTTTATTATTAACCGTAGCTTAAAATTTAAAATAACTTTTAAAGCTTAATTATTTAAGCTTTAACGACGCTATTCGAAAACGGCTTAGGCAAAACGCTTTCGGGCTATTACGTAAATTTTTATATAAAAATTATAATAATATAAATAATTTAATAGCTAAATTATTATATTTAAATTAAAATTATTATTTAGGCTTATCCGCATAAATACGGCTTTTTTCGGGTTTAAAAATATAATTATTAATATATCGGCTTAAACTTAGCCCGTAATTTTAAAGGCCTAATTTTATAATATAAAATACCTTATATATAATAGCAATTAAAGCTATTATTGCCCGATTTAGGCTAACCGGGTATTATTTTAATTTTCGGTAATATTAAAAGCTATATAAATATAAATAAATAAATTATATTATATTAACGCAATATATTACGAAACGCCTTATTTCGTATATCGCGCCCGGAAAGCAACGCTTAAAAGAAATTTAGCGGTTTTAAAAGCTTTCGAAAAATAACGCGGCCGTTATTATAGCATTTATTAAATATAAAGTTTTCGTTATTTTTTTTGTTAATAGCCTTTTTACGCTAATAAAAAATATTATAATAATCGTATTAATATTTTATAAACCTAACGTCGTTAATAAGCGCCGTAAATAAATTATTAATAAATAGCTATATAACGTATTTAGCTATCGAATTTAAACGCTAAAATATAATATTTTATAAAAAAATTTAAATAAAAAAAAATAAATTAAATTTAATAAATATCGTTTTAATAATATTAAACGTATCGAGGCTTAAAAGTAAAAAAGCGAATAATTATAAATAATAATCGTTTTAAACCGCGGCCGCGCTTTATTCGTTTTTATTTTTATTAACGCTAAAAATTTATATCGCGGAAGCTATTAGCCGGGCTTGTTTAAAAAGTTTCGAAATCGAAAAGCCGCGGGAAAATATTAATTAAGTAAAAAAGCGCCGCTTATTTTTAGGCAAGTTATAGTATCCGGTATTACGCTTATAATTTTTATACGGATTGCTTTTTGCGTTAAATCTAATTTTTTTAAAAGGTTAATCGCGGCTGTAATAGCCGTATATATGCTATTTACGCGTTAATTTAAATAATAATATTATATATATATAATAAATTTTACGATAATAAAAAATGCATAAATATCGCTAAAAAAATCGCGTACGCGATTAAAATACGCTATATAAAGCTAAATATAATATAAAAGAATTTATATAAATAATAATAATATTATTAGCGGATTTAAATATAATTATATATATAAAATATTTAAAACTAATTATACGATATATCGTTATAAATAGCAAAAAAGCCCGAAAATACGCGGAAATAATAAAAATTTAATTATTAAAATAAATTTATAAAATTAAATTAAATAATATTTTTTAATTATATAAAATAAATTATTAAGCTAGTTTTTTCGAGCGTTTAAAGCTTTTAATAAATATAAAAGCATTTATATTATTATTATCGTTATTTTTTATCGCCGCCGCTACCGCGCGCCCCCGGGTTTTATAAAGGCTAAATAATGCAGCTTTAAGCGTTAATATTAACCTATTTTTAGCAAATTTAATATACCTTTATAGCGGCGTAATTATTTTTATTAGCGCGGAAAAAGCCGTAAAAGCGCTTTTATTAGCGGATTATTATTTAATATAACGTTTAGCTTTATTTAAAACCTATTATTTTACGCTAAAATTATATTTTTTTATTTTATTTATTTTAGCCTTAATATTTTTTTATTTATTACGCTAGCGCTTTAACCTAATATTGCTTTAACCCGAAAGATACCGAGCCCTTTTTTTTATTTTTATTATAAAAGGTAGCTTTTTAAGCTCGAAAACCGCCGAAGGATCGAATTTAATATTGCTAACTTTAATTTAATTAGCGTTATTATTTTTAAAATCTATAATTATATCTTATATTTAAATATATTTATCGACGTCGGATTAAAACTATTTATAACGTTCGGCTTCGATTATTAATTTTTCGCCTTTGGTTAAAACGGTATTAAATAAAAAATATATAAGCTATTTAAATATAGGTTTATTTTTTATTAAATTAATAATAAGCCCGGCAAAGCTAGCTTATAAAAATACCGCCCCAAAAACTGCTATATTACTTAAAAAAAATTTATCGGGAACGGGAAAATATTTTAAGTAACGATAGCCACCGAAATATATTTATATAATTTCGTATATATTTATTATTTGGTAATACTTTTTAAAATCCTATATTTTTAAATATAGCTTTTATATAATATATAGCGGAAAGCGTTTTTAATTATTTTTCGATTTAATATCCGGCTAATAGGAATTAATCGGACCCGTACGATATATAAAGCATTATAAAATTCGCTCGAAGGCAAGAATTAGAAAATTTTAGGTATTTTTTTTAACTTTATAACGTTTATAAACTAAATTTATACCTAAATAAAAAAAATTAGTTTTTTTTAAATACGGCCTTTATACGATTTTTTTATAATATAATAAAATATAAAAAATAACACTAAATAGCAATTTAAAGTTCTTTATTTTATCCTATATAAAAAAAAATAATAATAAGCGTAAATAGCCTTTTTTTCCGTATACTTTAAGGATTAAACGTACGGTTTAAACCTCGCAATTATAAATTAAACGTTATTACCGATTTAAGGAAATAAATAAAAAACGCATTTTAAAAAGGGCTTATAAGCAAAAAAAAATAAGGTTCGCTATTGCGGGAAAAAAATAATAAATAAAAAATATATATTATAAAAAAACGTAAAAAATATACAAAAAGCGCTTTATAAAAAAAAATAAAAAAAAATATAAAATTTAAAAATTTTAAATAGCTATTTTCGTAAAAGCAAAAATAAATATTTTTTAAAATAAATATAAAATATATAATTCGATATAAATTCGCGATATAGCGTCGAAAGCTACCGGAAGCGACCGAAAGCGATTATAAAAATCTAATTATTAATAAATATAAACCGAAATTTACTAAATATTAATAACGCAAAATAATAATAAATACGATTATACGCTTTAAATTTAATCGTAATATAAAAACAAATTAAAAAAATCCGCGTTTATAAAGCCGTAAAAGCTTTAAATTAGCCCTAAAAGCTATAAATTTAATATCGATTTATAATTAAAAACGGGCTTTATCGCTATATTCGATATATTTAAATTTAAAGTTATTTTAATAATATAAAAAACGTTTAAAATTAAAAAAAGCAAAACGATCGGGCCCGATTTTACTTAAATAAAACCGTATAATTAGTTAGCTACGCCACGCCAAAAAATATGGCCGTATACCTGGATTACTATAGAGTATAATTAGATCCGGGGCAATTTGGCTATATATTTCTCAGCTGGAGATCTCTGTTTTATGACGTTCAAACTTACACATATCCATCGATTTCCCTTTCCATGGTGCTTAGAGCCTCTATATCCGCCGCCGCCGTAATAGCGGATATGTATTGTGCTTTCTTCGGAGTGCGATAAAGATTCGGTCGAAAGCCCTACCGTCTCGGCCGCCTTCGTGGTCGTTGACTTCGGAACATTTCCAGTAAGCCTTTGGCCGAGGGTGTACGTTTGGTTTTGTCCAAATTTTGCAAACAGTCCAACACGTCGCGCTTCAGTGCCGCTCGTGTTATCTCGTGATATGGTGGTGTCAACCTTACCAAACGGCATTGCGACTTGGTGGAAGTAGGCCAATAGATTTGCAACCGAAAACACGAATGGAAATAAGATATTACCAATGCCCGGACGGAGGGGTGGTTTGTGTGCACAGGTGAGTACCAGTCTTTAGAACTTAAACCTGACCGAAATTATGAAACGGAGATCCCCATATGCTAAGTATTACATAGACTATTGGGCACTATTATATAATAAGCAGAAGGCCCCATGTGTTATGACGTAGTCCGGGAAGTGCGCAGGTATAAACGTACCAGTCAATACACGTCCAGACATGCATCCATAGCTGCAATGTAACGTACCTAATACAGGCCAGGTAACTAACGATGGAATTTTGTCCGCCTAAAGAAGTTTTGCGCACAGTCTTGGCATGACCATTCATGCAGGTGAGGCCCGTGCAGCGCGCACAGCCACAAGCCTGGAGCCAAATGGTCAGAAGAATGATATGTACTTGTTTCAAACTCGCGTATGTAGCTATATAGGCGCTGGCTTCTCGATTATCTTATCTGCCTTTCCTCTGCAATCTCGTCTGGTGTGAGGTCACCGTGTACTTTCTGAATATAATTCTCAAATTTCATCACCTCACTAATCACCCTGTCAAGATGTTTATACCCCATGGCTTCCTTTTTGAAAAGCGCCAATTGCTTTGCTGTAGAAACGGCGTTACGAATTTGCCTTCCATTCAAATGAATTGCAGCCAATGCTTCCAAGTGTTTCGTAATGTCTGCTATATCAATTGTGCTTCGAGAATCGCACTCTGAGGTTGAGGACTGATCCGCGCTCATTTTTCGAGATGATTCAAGCTCGGAAAGACGACTTATGAACTTGGTCCAAATTTGCCGCCGCTGGAAGAGTTTCAAGTCTTCGTAGCGAAGCGTCAGATGCATTCGCGATTTGAAAGCTTCATCGAAGGTTCCAATACGATTGGTAGTCAGAATCAGGATACCTATTATGTAATGTCAGTCTTTAGTCCACATTCTGTGGATAATTTCAAGATACCATCGTAATATTCAAGCACGCGAAGGAACACTATAATTATTAGCATGAAATTCCAAGATGGGGTTTCGTACACTTGCCTGAGACCAGCGCATTTCTCTCAAGCTGTTGCAACGATCTTTGCTCCAGGAAAACATCGGCTTCGTCTAAGAGGACGACTGAATTACGGCAGTGAGAAACGATATCCATCCATGAGTACACAAAGCAACCTACCACACTCCCATATCCTGCAGAGCTCGAATACTGTGGTAAAATACTACGCCTGTCAACTGTATCCAGAAAGATGGACGTTGTATGACTTACCTCCTCCACCTTCTCCACAGTCGTCCCAATATCCCCACAGGACACCTTGTACAATGGCCTCTTGGCTACCTCAGCAACGCTAGCATTGGTAAGCAATGAACTCCACATGATGCATCGATAACTGTTACCTTTCAGCTGTCAATGTCTTCCCTGTTCCAGGACCACTGACAAAGGTTAGAATATCTTTCAAGATAAGAAAATAGATGCAGTAGAACGTACCCATGAAGCAGGATGAACAAACCATTCCCTTTCCCGTGAATGACGTCCATGTGCTCTTCAGCGCGTAATCGTGTAGTGACAACAGCCTGTACTAGCTCTTTCGTGCCATGTTCGAGGACGAGGTGCGAGAAAGCATCTTCGTTCCATTCAACTTCCTCAAGGTCGAGAACCTGTAGAGTAACTAATTGTGTCAGTATGGATAGGCTGCTTGGAAAATTGTGCGAAAGAAAAGATGGATGTAGGCATAGTTTGCAATCCATACCCCACTCGTGTTTATGCATGTTGAATCCAAAAATACTAGAAGGAAGACACAGGAAGAACGAATCGCCAAGATCAGGGTTCTCGATAACCATCAGCTCACTGTCCAGCTCTTTCGAGCTATCTCTAGAATTCGCTGTTTCAGGAGGATGCATTTCGTAGTATGTCTTCATATCGACCATGTAGCGGTAGTTGGTCTATATCCTAGTGAGCTTAAATCCTGTTTCAAAATAGCAGTTAATATTACCGAATCATGTGCTCTGCTAGATTCACTTTTAGAGCTGACGTATTGTCTATGTCGACATTTCCAGAGCATGTCGCCTCTGTTTTTAAGTGCACCCATAGTGCTCGCACTCGCGAATCTTTCCGGATAGATTGGTAGATCAAGAATTTCGACCACACCAGTAGTAGCCAGAGAAAGTGTTTCCTTCCACTTATGTTCAAGTGACTTGAAGACTCCAACGAATATCCAGTGTGATACTTGCAGAGCCAAAGTCACCTGAGTCTTCTGGGTCTTTAGAGGCTCCATTTCTATCTCGGCCCAATCCTGGAGAACAGAAGCTTCCAAATGGGATGGTCCTTCTCCCTCGTGACGGGATATTACTATATCACCAGGGATCTTGCTATTGATTAGTCAAATAAGTTGACCAACGTGGAGACGGGACCTTACGAATAGATATTTGAGCAACCCAAGAGTAATTTGTGAACGTGAGAGGTGGTCATCCACTGTGTCCCACTCTGGACGAACGTGTTCCTCGAGATAGTTCTGAAACACATCCAGGTATCCTCGTGATCCTGGCTCCATGTTGGCAATTGCATCCTCAATACGATCACGACGGTGGAACCACCAGATGTACGGGTATTGGTTTGTCTTGCCGTCTCCGTGAAAGTCTGGATGAGCGATGCCTGACAATGCTGTATTTGACAAATCGTTCAGGTCATCAGCCAGCTGCGACGAAACGATGGTAATATGCTCCTTTGTCATGAGAGATTGGATATCATGGTGGCCACTCTGATGCCGCAAGTGTCCACTTCCGGCCCGTGAACTGTCTTTACAGCACTCATAATGCCTATGAACCACGAAGAGCACCTCTTTGTTATTTTGCAAATATTGTTCGACGTTATCCACAATCTCGCTGCATCGTAAATGCGCGCGGTTCGGACCGCTTTTGACAAGTGTAGGGGTGTCCAGGAATACTTCTTTCCTATAATCTTTTGCACAATTGACCATATGGAGGATCTGAAAACGCGGCGGACGCTCTATCAAAGATGATTCTGCTCGCAGTCGTAGTCGTTCCAGCTCTTGTAGATTCTCGGTGGCTTTTTCCAGGCCTCTGAACAGAACCTGGTCTTCGACATGGTTCTTTTCGCCCAAGAAATTGCAGATTACGGCGCGCCAGTCAACGGTCATGGCATGTCGCCGAGTAGCCACTAATATTCGATTGTCAGTATGCAAGGCAGCAATGTGCATTTGGGCTTTTGATTATTTACTGTCTGAATCAGCCGGCATTCTAGCGTGCGATGATGAACTTCGAAAACTCTATGGTCAAGAACTCTTTCTTCAAAGTCAGCCACTGGATTTCTTACGTTATTATCTGAATGTAAGACTTTTTTCATGGCAAATAATCCTGGGTCGCATCTGTGGCAATGCGGATGCCCGACATGGGTACTTATCTCGCCTTTTAGGCACCGGTGCAGCTCGTAGAAAGTACAGTGACTTGCGACCCAATGAGTTTTTACACTTTGCGAGTGGCAGTGCATATATGGGTAGCATCGAAATCTAGGATTGCATGGACCGTTCTAGACCCTAATCAAAGCAATGGGATCCTTGTTTGTCCTAACTGCCGTGGTTATTGTTGCAATTATCGGTATGTTATGCTATTTCTGGTCCCACCTATGCCTAGTCCTGAGAAGACTAATATTTTCATTACGCTTTGTGCTCTGCAATTTGGCTGCAATAATTGACACATTGGGGTCGCATTGAATTTTGTAATGCAAGCTCTTCCAGCTATGCCAGCTCAAGTATGAGCTTGCTTGCCTGTTAATGTTCCAACGGCCACACTTCTAGAAAAGCTTTGACACAAGCAGCTGCCGTTGTGGCAGCGTACTTCTGCCACTCTTTGGTCTTGTGTTGATCCGCATAGTCACAAACGCTTTTGATGATTATGCACGGGCAATGGTCCCAAATTCCCACACCCTCCATCTCGAATGCTACTACTTTGTCCTCGTGGAATACTCTATCGCGGTCGCTTGCTGATTTCATGACTTTGTTCCCTGATCCATAGACCCCAAAGTGGATTGCCGGATAAATAGGTTCACCGTTTTCTTCGGCTTTCGACATTGTCTCGAGACGTTTCCGGCTAACTTGTCGCTTGATGGTGCCAATAATCTCTCCATCCCGCGGAATCTTGAGGTTTTGCTTGACCCCATTCGGATCACTGATTTCACTCGTACTGTTCTCGAATTCGGGCTCTTGTGAAGGGCTTGACTCAAACAACACATCATGGCTAGTTCCAGGGTATCCAGCGGAATAGCCAGGTGTCTGACGCTGGCGAACGGCATCCAAATGACAAGCTGTCCTTTGTATCAAGTGTTGATGGCACCTTGTTGTCTTCAATCTCGACAAGAAGGAACTGATATTCGATGGCATTTTTCTGGCACTGTCTGCCACCTCTCGCTTCCGCTCAAATCCCTGGGGGTATTGCCTGCCAAAGTCATAGCTTACCAGGCCATCGCTTATAATTACGTCGCCTAGTAGGACTTCAGTGTTCTTGTCGGGAAATGGCACCCCACCACATATGCCAGAGATGATAGCAAGACGTATTCCTGGGAAGACAAGTTGGCAGCTCGCGAATGCATAGGCAGCGTTGAACCCACCCATTCCTGGCATATAAAGGATGACGACACTGTGATGGGCGATCTTGACGACAGAGTAAGTGATAGAGTGGATCCCATCACTTCGGACTTCGAATTCTTTTTCATCCAGAATCTCGTCCCAGAATGGCTCGAGGGCATTCGCTTCAAGAGAAAGCGCACATACGATGGCAACTCCAACTTCGTCTCTTCGATACTTTGAAGTATCACTCTTGTCGGGCCTGCCTGACTTGACCTGAACAAGATTTTGCGCTGGCTCTGGTAGTTGAGGCTGTATGTCGTCATGGTGAGGCAGGAGCTCTGGCAGTTTCAAATCATACTCGGTAATGACAAGCTGACTTCCGGGGTCGGGGTCACCATGTGGACTCGACCGAAGCAACACCTTTGTAGAGCTGGACATTGGAAGAGCCCTCAATTGGTATTGACTGCCCTTGATAGGATCTCTGTTTATCAGAAACATGACCTTAGCAGATGCTCCCTTCTTGTCTGATGGCTTTCGTAGTGTATCGTAGAATTCGTCAATCCAGTGCGCAACGTCTCCGTGTCGTGTGCCGAATATGGAGAGGTCAATAATGATGAAAAGCTCACGAAGTGATTCGATGAGACTTTGCATAGTAGATATCCAGTCTGAGATGTTTTCAGCGCTCTGAAAGCGGTGCACCATGTCAGCTAGAAAGGCTAGCGATATTGTGCAGGTAATGCTCCGGAGGCCCTGTATAGCGAGTTGTCGCATAAGATCCAGTGAATGATACGAGTTGAAATGCTCGCGAGACGTCGCACAGTTCACCATGTAAAGAACTGGTGAGTTTGTGCCAAAACGACGGATCGCATCGCAACTAAGCCGCTGAAGCCAGCCAGTTGACTGTGAAGGCCCTTTGATAGCAACTAAGCTAGACGACTGACTTATTGCCCAGGATTGGATATGAGCATCTGCCCATATTCTTCTCATGGTACCCTTCAGCGCAACACCTTCGTTGCGAAGTTTTGACGATGCCAAGCATTTGGATTTCAGCCGTTCAGGGTCTAAGAAGGCCGATCCTGTTTGCGCTTCACAAAGCGCAATCACCTTCCATAAGTGTTCTTGTATTCCCAGGGACCATTGATCATCCTCTATATCATGAGGGTATTGATCTGTGCACAATGGTCAAAATGAGTTTCGACTAGCCGAGAGATGGTGAGGGCATACCGGACAGTTGAGTCCGTAGGAACTCTAGCATCTGACGATGGCCTCTATCCTCAACATCACAGCGGGCGACAATTGGTTCCTGGGGTAGAGCCGGCAAAGACAATGCATCTGGAAATAGCCTTAGTACTTCAAGTTGCCGATGAATTTCGGCAAGTAAGCACTGCTTGTGGTGCGGCTTCATATGCGGCCCGCCCATATCAAACAAAACAGTCTGAAATTACTTGTGCAATCAAAGAAAGTACTCCCAATGGCGGTTCCAACATGTTGACCGCTGATTGTGAGGGGCGGGTAAAACATCCACGGATCGAATTACTTTGTGCCTATGGCAAATAAACAGTTCGATCCCTCATGAGGCTGTGGGAGGCAGAGGGCTGTGTCAGCAAACCCCGCAGATCAAAGGATTTGGGAGGGTTGTATTTCCGCCAGCACATTCTGCAGTTATGCAGCATGATGTAAGCCATTGGGGTTGGCAGGAAGGCAATGTCGACTATCTAAAGGGGAGGGGGGCTATCGAGGCAGTCCGTACCAACAAAACAGTTATTTCGCCATGTCGCACAAAGTGTAACGTGTCCTAACTGCGAACACATCCGAGAGAATATTTCAATGATCGTTTCAAAGGGTCAGGCCTTGTATATTCAATGAGTCGTTCTCGTACCATGCGCATATTGGCAGCAGATACAAGTGCTGGTGTTTGCACTCCTGTGATCCACCTATTTTATATCCGTTTACGATTCTCCTAACGTCCTATCCGGTAGAACAATGCGAACATATATACTTCCAATTGAGCGAAAACCAGTGATTCATGAATGTATATTTTGTAGCCGAAGTATCCATTGTTATCTGGTTATTTTAGGTGGTTCCGGCTTGTCATGGCGCTGGACGCTGTCACTGGACAGCTCGTGAATGGGCCCCTTGGCGCCCGCCATAGGCGGCCCACGTGCACCTCGGAACTGTAAATACGTTCACCGATCGTCCAGAACATGGACTGTAACTCTTCGAGCTATGTCCTGTCAATCTACCTGATGTAATAGTGAGCCGTTCTTGCCGGTTACCTGTAGACCTGTCAGACTGTAGAGAACAGACTACTATATGGCACTAGCCTATACTACCCGCCATCTGCGTCCAGTTTCTCCCACCAACTGAAGCGAGAAGCATTTATTGCTAGGACTTCAACTTTTGAGGGTTGTACCACGACTGGCTGCTATTCCCCGTATCGGAATACATTATGTATCTTCCCGATGTTTGTACGGGATGGCCACGCTCTTGAATTTAACTAGCAGGAAGCGCTCCCTGGCCAGCGTCAGCCAGCGTACGAAAAACTGTCACACAACGCTCGAATGCCCGTAATGCCCCCCCACACCCCCTCGAAGTAAGCAGCGTTATTGTCAGATGGTGGATTATGGTTCCTATATACTAGACTAATTTAAACTTTAATAGGAAAGTACCACCTTGATTAACACCTGATTAAAAGTACGACCAGGCCATGCTATAGTCAGGCTCAGGGCCCGCTGTCGGCTCCGAGCAACAAACGGCCATCATCAACTACTTTCAACCTCTTGTGAACAACAATACCCAATACACATCGGCCAACTCTAGAGTCCGAATGTTGGCGGTCCATTGTCCACGATATAAACTGCGGCTCTTGCCAATGCAAATCCTTGGGCAAAGTCGCCGATCGACAAGCACATAGTATGTATGGACTAGTCGTCAGCTTCTGAAAATAGCCTGGGGGGAATCTTGACATTATGATAAGTACAGAGTCGGCGTCTGCAAAATATGGCTTAGAACATCTATTTTATTCACAGCCACTCTGGCTGTAAAACTCATGACTATAAGTGTTGCCAAAAGCAACCTTTTTTCGACACTGGGCATCCTTCTTCTTCATCAGCTCTACGATATCCAATTCCATAACTCACACATAATTGATCGCTATGATTTCCTCTAGTTTCCGTCTTTCTCTGGCTTTGGCTCTGACATTGAGTGTTCCATCTGTTTCGGCAGATATGCCATTGCTCACTGCAGCCGACGCGGATGCCTACAACGCTGGCGAGTACGGTAGCCTGCCAAATCAGACATTTCACTCGTCTGACTTGATTGCACCGAGGCTACTTGTCACCAAATGGGAGAGAAACTCTACCAAGACCGGATCCCATATATTCCTATCACCCCATATTGATGGCCAAGATCAAGCGCCAATGATACTCTCGGCGGGTGACCTAAGCCTAGTCTATGTCGATCCATCGTGGAACGGAGGCGCCGACACTCGCATGCAAATGTATAAAGGCGATCCTTATCTGACTTTTTGGTCCGGCACAGTCGTCCGGGGCGGCGGCTACGGCGGTGGCGTGCTCGTCGATAGGTCATACCAAAAGGTTGCCAATCTCACCACTCAAGGCTTTACTACCTTGGCGGATGGTCATGAATTTCAACTTACCCATGACGGTGGTGCACTGCTCGTCAATTCCCACACAACCACCGGCGACTGTAGCGAGGTGGGAGGCGGTCGCAACTGTACACTCAAGGCATTCGCGTTTCAAGAAATCGACATTGCCACTGGCGAACCACGATTCACCTGGCGCGCTGAGGACCACTTTTCCCTCAACGAATCTTTCAAGGCCTGGAGTGGCAATGACAGCGTAGAGTGGGATTGGTTCCACATGAACAGCCTCGAGAAGACCATGAGCGGCGATTACCTCATCTCGGGACGGTACCTCGCCATGGCGGCCCTCATCAACGGCACGACCGGTGACAAGATCTGGCAGGTGGGCGGCAAGAATAGCGACTTTCGGGACATAAGCACCACGAATGGCTCTACGGGAGCGGCGGCAATCTTTGAGTTCCAGCACGACGTCCGGTTTGCCGGAGGCCCACGGAGCGGCAGTGTCGATAACGCCTTTGATGATTTGACCATGTTTGATAATCATGTCCTGGCCGATGGGCTCGAGCAGCCGACGCCTGGCTGCATCGCCAATTGCTCGCGGGGCCTTCGCATTCGACTCGATCACACCGAGAGGACTTTCACGCTAGTCCACGACTTCTACCACCCTGCGAGCGTTCAGACCTTTGCGCAAGGCAGTTATCAAACTTTTCCCAATGATAATGTCCTGGTTGGTTGGGGTACCGTTCCTGCCTTTACCGAGTTCACAGCTGCTGGTGAGACAGTTCTTGAAGTCCAAACCGCCCCATGGTCGTCGGCCGCCACCGGTGGCAGTCTCTTGTATCGCGTGTACAAGCTAGACTGGACTGCGACGCCGCTCACGAATCCAAACGCTGTTGTCGTCAATGATACGGTCTATGTCTCTTGGAATGGGGCGACAGAGGTTGCCTCATGGACACTGGTAAGTCTTTTACCGTCCTGCTTTTACGGATATAATTGCAAGTAGGGCATACGCTAACGCAGAATGTGGCAGTTTGGTGGCCAAGACAATGAGCGTCTTTCAAAATTAGTGACTGTGCCCCGAGCGGGTTTTGAGACGGCGATTGTGCTGGACTCTTTACCTCCGATATTAAAGGTGGAAGCTGTCAGCACGGCAGGGGAAACCATTGGTTCAACAGAAGTCATCGCGTCTTAGGAGTCGTATACAATTAGTGACATGGTGAATTCGATGAGTGTAAGCGCTGGCTACTTCTAGGGTCTGCTTACTGTCTGCGATGTTTTATTTGTAGACTCGACTAAACCTTCTTCATAATTATGATTTATCTTATTCCTACTAGGTATTTGTTGTTCCTCTGTGTCGCATTCATATCGGTAGGCTTGTCTTTCTATCTAATTTTTCAAACGCATTCATGATACCTACATTCGTGTTACAGGTACGAGTCAACTTGCACGTCTCTTTCGATGATGTTCTGGAATGCTCGACAGCAGCTGACGGATAGCATTCTGTGAATTGTAGCTGCGAAACTATAATCTAGAGCCATGGCCTTGGAGGCGGCAGCGACTCTAATATGCCAAGTCTCACCTGTTCTACGTGGGCTATCTGTTGTATGGCATTCGTTTCTATTTGGAGGGAATTTCATTGTCGACCATCTGATAGTCCTCGCCCACTAGGCTGCGGTTTCGCTTTTGAATCAAATTAGGGATTGGATATGTCGACTTGTCCCAACACCCATTTTAGATGGACCTGCCAGTCTTCAGCCGGCAGCATCTTTACAATTGTCGCAATAATCCCATCGAACCGGCCGTCCCAGAACCACCGCTTGGGCATACGACACATGGGCACCAGAAAATGAGCCATGACCATGAGCGCCTCGGGGTTCCTTTGCTTCACCAGCCGGAAAAAGTCAGCGCCCAGGTTAATGGCACAAGTAGCAACAAACAAGGCGGTCCGAGGTCGTAGCGAGACGAGACGCATCCATAGCTTAGTCTTGGCAATTGCGTCGCTAATGTGCTCTTTATCAATGGCCGAAGTGTTGTTCTCGCTTGTACGGTTCTTGGCGTCTAGGAGATTAAGAGATTTTTCTAGGCCCTCATCCAACCTGGAGAGCTCTGGTGGGCCATCTTCTGCGCGGCGCAGTAATGCGGTGATGCGGCTCTCGCGGCCCCCAAGGCCATCATAGAGTTGGTGAGCTGTCCTGAAGAAGAAACGTAGCGAGACTAACCAGTCTGTAAAACTATCCAGGTCTTGGTCGGCGTCACGTGTAGGCTCAGTAAGCGCAAGAGACAAAACTACTTGCATGAGCTTGAAAGTAATCTTGGCTTCATGAAGAGAGTGGACATTAGCCGAAGGTATTCCCGCTCGGTCAAGCTCCTGAAATAATTCAAGTCCACGATCGTGATGCTCGTGGGCTATCGGTAAATATCTGTCTCTCTGATTGGGCCGAGTTCGTGCGAGATGGGCGGCAGAAACGGCCAAGACCCCATGCATGAGGAAAGCATGGTCAACGGCAAGCGTTGGCACCACCTGAGTCCATATTGCAATGCGTGGTGAAGAATCATCAAGAGCCATGGTCACAGCCGCCTCGGAATGCCAGTTTTGCAGAAGCGTGAGCTGTACGAGATTGAGATCGCAGCTGTAGTGCGCTCGATTCAAGGAGTCATTCGATGACAGGCATTGCTTTGCATATACCGCTCGGGCTGGTGGTGATTTCACGATGACTCGGTGGCTATTTCGTACATTCAGTGTTAGACAAGAGCCTTCCAACTTGGCCAGGTCAGAAAATGGTTTCCGACTGACCCTGTATCAACACCGGCGAGTACTGTTGCACGATCCCAGCATCGCCAGGTCTTTGACGCCTCCAATGGTTGTTGAGCAATGACATACTCGCAAGTTTCCTGACGCCTTGTACAATGCGAGCATACAGGCTTTGCTATGTCGCATCTTACGCGACGGCGCTTACATTGCAAACAACCATGTCTAGTCTTGGAGTGTGTATTTCGAGACATGATAATTCAAAGAACTTTCACAGCTTTCACGAAAATGAGAGTTGTGCAAATGAAACAGTCGGCATGAAGGACTGACGACTCATTGGGGAGATTCAAAGGGGGTTTTGTTCCACACTATAGTTTTTGGTTATAACGCGCCACGGTCTTTTATAGTCTCCGAATCAACAGGGCGGCGGAGGCTGAGCACCTTTACGCCACAATCCTTTCCGCAAGCTTTGTTTTTAGTTCAAAGGTGTAAAGGCCGGAGTTAACAATGTAAGCAGTCTATATTCGTTCCAGATGTCTTATTATACAGAGTAGTTGACCCTCCATAGTGCAAGTTTGCCCTAACAACCATTGTCAAAGAAGGAAATAGTACGATGAATGAACTTGAAGGTAGGATGCATACATAATCAAGCAATTCGGCCACACACACGCGCTTGAACTTGAGCACATTGACATTCACCATGCATGTTTCATAGCAACTCAGCTATTTGACCAGAAATCTCATGTTCGTTTTATACAACCGTCCGCATGAGGACGAAGCGGCTACTTCATTACATGCTTAATTTGAACCCTAAATTAAGAAACAACGCCGCTGTAAATGCAAATCCCTGCCGCTAGATAGATCGGTTTGGGGTATCCAAAATGACGAGAAACACAACAACGCGATGATTAATCCATCACCTCTCGGCCTTGTCATCGTCGCTACCACGCTTCTTCCGCCTCTTGACATTGTCGTTCTCGTCCAGACCTGCCACGCCCTCACAGTCGACACTCACAATGCGGTGGCCCACCTTGCCGCTCTGGGGCTCAAAGACCATGGCGGTCAGCTGGCCGCCCTTGACGCAGCCGCTGTCGAGGCCGTAGCTAAACTTTTGAAGGCTGAGGCCCTTCTTGGCGTCGTGTCCGTACACGACCGTCGTCCTATCCGACTCGGAGGCGATCTTGCTCTGACTCTCGTTCCAGGCCTCGCTCCACGATTTGCCGTCGCGTCCCTCGGTAGGGAGCGAGACGTCGTGGTCACTGGCAGCGTCACCGCGCTGCTGCGAAATCTGCAGCTCCTTGTCAACCTCCTCGTCGGGCACGTTGACGTGCTTCTTGGCCTGCTCCGAGGCGTAGTCCTCTAGCACCTTCTTGATCCGCTGGCGCCGTACCTGCTCAGCGGGATAGAGAAGAGTTCGCATGTGCATCACGGCCCAGGGGTCCTGATTCTCGAGCGTCACGTCCGGCACCAAACCAGCGTGAACCACCACCACGTTGCCGTACCCGCCAATGGGTCCGACTTTGAGTATAACGGGGAGGTCGGCGAGCCAGTTCCGCTGCTCCTGGGTCAATGCCCGGGCAACCTGCAATTCCGCACTCTGCGATCCCGACTGACCCGCCAGCGAGGGCTCGTCCATATCGTCCTCGCCACTAGTGATACCCTTCAAATCGCTAATCTTGCCACCGCTGCCGCTAGCACCGATCACGTTTCTCGAGTTCGCATTGGTGTAGGCCAGGAGAATGCGGTCTTCGTGGTTACCGCGCACGCCGCTGGCGTCTATATCCATGGCAAGCTGGACGACGCCCGAAGAGTCGGGGCCCTTGTTGATCAGGTCGCCGGTAAAGATGACGTGATCGCCTCGCTCCTTTGAGTATTCAACCTTGGCAAGGAGTGCCTTGAGCTCCTTGAGCTGTCCGTGTACGTCGCCAATGACAATGAGTCGCGGCGAGGAGGGGGACGTGGTAGGGAGCTTGCTGGAGGGCAGCGTCGCGAGCGCCTTGAGATCCTTGAGCGGCGGGCGGGCATAAGTTCCGTACGACATGGGCGGCATGGGCTTCTGCTCCTCCGAGGCCAAATCAGCAAAGCTCGGATGCGACTCGCTCTGTGCCTGGCTTTGCGGTGGGCTTTGTTGCTGTTGTGCCTGACTGGCACCGCCGGGAGTGCCCTCGGGGGTCTTGAGCGGCATAATTGTCTTTGCGGTCTCGGCCATCTGGTCGAATTTGGCGTAGCAGAGGTAGAGAGTGCCAAAGACGAAGATGGCGATAAGGGAGAGGAATCGCCTCCGCCGCGTGCGTGGGTGAAGGTGCGGGGAGAGACACAGGGCGACCATTTTTCCCTTATTCAGATCTCTTTTGCGATCCGTTTCCCCGAATTTTGGCTTTTTGGTTCGGCTTAGGCGACTCCTGACGTGCGAGTCTGCGGCGTTCAGGAGTAGGTTGAACTACAGGTGACAAAATATTATCCCGTCGCAAAGGGGGTCTTCGTCCTCGTCTTGCCTGAGAATTCGTGGATTGCGGCGCGTCAATCCTTTTTTCCGGCCTTCCCGCGCAACCCAATTGCCAGTCAATCCAGAAGGGAAAATCAAGGGTAGGGAAGAAAGAAAAAAAAAAAGATCGTGAGCTCGGGTTGATCCCCCAAACCGAGCGTTGGATCCCCGAGGGCAAGGAGAGTGGTGTGCCACTAGCTCAACGATGGTTCGGGGCGTTGTGGGGGGATATAGGTGATATGATAGAAGTGGATATGGGAAAATAGAACAATATTAAGCATACTACTACCTAATACTGTTGCATGACGCAAGGGCAAAGTAGAAAAAGGTAATAGCAGGCAAAGGGGCGCGTCAAAGAGAAACCCAGTTAGTGAATAGTTGGTACCAAGCCCGTTGAAAGTGTCTTTTTTTATTTCTGCGAGAGACATTCTGGAAAAGAAGGCGGCGGCCACGTTTTTAAGACACAAATTACATTACCCCATGTATTGATTGATTGGATTTGCCTGCCGTCTTTACCGTGAGGGAGCTGAGCCGAGTAGGAATAGGGCGGCCAAGGTGCTGCTGGGTGACGGCGCAGTCTATCTGTCATTGCCATTGTATGCAAAAGTTGGTGGGCGAGGAGAATAAAGCTAGGCTCATCCTAGAAAGCCGGCACGCGACAGCGCAAGAATCCTGCCCAGCCAGCATGTTTCGTTTTGGGGTAAAGGCCCAATAAGGGGTGTGGATTAATGGCAGGGAATCTCCCAACGCTGCTGTCATTGGCTTTGATGGTCCTCGCTTGTTATGTCTCGTGCATATACGGCTGACGGTACCGATGCTTACTTTTTACTACATATGTACCTATCAATAATACCTGCAAAAGTCACGTCGATTGAAGCCGAATGCCGGGAACCGATTCACTCTGTTCTGTGTAATTTTCTTTGCTTTTTTCAACGTACAATTGGACGCTGCCAAGTCCGCCGCATGGTAGCCTAATTAAACTGATGGACTCACTCGGCCCAAAACGGTCAATTGAGATTGAGGATATGCCCAGTATGTTCAGTAGAATGAACCCAATTGTGAGTATTTACACTCAGGCATCATGACAACTAGGTAGTCAATTTTGTCGACCTTTACTCTAAGGGCCAAACACAACGCCCGTAGAGATTGAGGGTCTACCCACAAACGATTCTAGGCGTGCCACCGGCAGGCGCAGACGTTGATCACGGTAATGTGTTAAACATGCATGTCGGGTGTGCATGGTGAAAACGACACTGTTCCAGTTGCACCTAAATTCGACGTTTGGTGAAACTCAATTCTCAGTACCTAGTAAAAGTAAGTAGATCCAAGAAACAGAGAGATTGTCAACGCGTTCCTGAGACTCCAATTGATACGCTCGGTCACCCAACGGACTGGTTACCTGTTCCATCCTGGCCAGGTCCGGTCACCCTCTGCAATCATCAAGCGGTCTCATGCAGCTGATCACATCATGATAACACGCACGCGTAGAGTCATACTGGGCTACATTCATGGAGCAGAGACTGAGTTGCTAAGGTTACGTTCTCCCATGATATGTACATGTAGTAAACAGACTATAACAAAGCCGGGGGATGCTCAGAGCGCCACTGCTACATTTCCAGCGTGCGGACTCTGTCAGCCAGCTCTGATGCAATATGAGCTGAAGTCGACTAGCAGGATGCTCAAATCCTGACTGATGAATTGCAATAGACCCGTGAAGAGGGTTTTGATGAACCACCAACGCCAATTTTTATCCGACCCAATGCTCAGGTCTTGACAACCTTTGTAATCATACATTCCGCGTTGCGGTCATTCGCCTGACTTCGTATCTCATTTGCCCTTCCGCTGCTGCTCCCGCTCCCGCTCTGCTTGTGCTTGGAGCTTAAGCAACTCGTTTTGGTACTGTTGATTCTCGACGACCCTCCAGTCCTCGGGCTCGGGCTCGTTGCCATCCGTCTTCTTGACGCCGCCGCCAAAGGCCGACTTTCCGGCGTACAGCTGGTATCCCTCGCCCGAGTCGGTCGTGGACAGGTTCTTGAAGGTGGCGGGTTGGTTGCCGCGGAAGCGCTTGCGCATGTCGATCATGCCTCGCCTGCACTCGCCAAAGCCCTTTTTGAGTTGGATACACTTGGTCGGCAAGGTGCTGGCCAGCGGCTCACGCAGGCAGTCGGCGGCCGAGTTGCGGTGCACCATGACGCACTCGGACTCTTGGAGGCATTGTGCCAGGGCGTCTCCTGCGGGACAGGCGATGCAGGTTAGCTATGCTGTGCAATTCGGACCGTGGAAGATGAGCACGCGCGACTCACTTATCTCTTTACATGAGCTCGGCATATTGTCTTGGTCTTGTTGGTGGTGCCTTTGCTGTGGGTTGCTTTCCTCCAGTAGTACCGCAGACGAAGCTATCGCGACTTTCGAAAAATCAACCCACCGGAAGCTGAGTGCTCGTCAGCTGGCCTTTGATTCGCCAGCAACATGCGATGGGCTTTTGTAGCAACACATTAGGCTAGGGCGGAACAAGGGGGCGGTTTCCTTGAGCGATTCGGGGTGGCTCCCAGGAGACTTCCCGATGCCCTTTAGTGGGCTGGCGGGTAGCTTCGCCAAATCCAGGCCTGCCGCCTGCCAGCGCTGATAACCAGGTAACCCCTTGCGCTGTGCTGCAATGAGAAGGGGACAACAGCGGTTGGCTGGGACCTCGAGCTACGAGGACAGCGCCAGCCAGCCCGTGGCCGTGGGACGAAGCTTTGTTTCATGCATTAGTGAAGGCGGATAACACAAGCCTCTTTCATGTGAAAGGTCAAATGTTTGTGAATGCCTCAATTTCAAGCCCTATGATTCCATTAATAATATCCTCATATTTTTATTCTCGGCCAGATCGTATTGGCAGTTTCTCTTTGCCTCTCCCTGGAGTCGTTCGTCGCCTCCATATTACTGTACAGCTCTTCCATTTTGGGCGCACGTGGACCAATTGGTCGCCTGTCAAGGACCAGAAAGGAAATCAACCTTCTGTTACATTCGGGCATGTGACATCACTGGGCTGGTTACCCGAACCACATAGCAGCAGCAGTCCATTTCATTTCACGCGGCACGGGCTCCCCACGAAAGTGCTTTCCCATCCCTAGTTTGAGAATGACTTTTTGGTTTTCCTCAACAAAATAGCTACTTTGCCGACTATATATTGCTGCGAGCACGAATGCGCTGATCGGTTCCTTGCGCTTAGAGCTGTCGCGCAAAGATGCCCGTACCTTTTATCGGGCGGCTTAATCCGTATGTTTGCTAGAGCTTCAGCCAGATCCAAGACGGCTCAACCATAGCCTCAGCTAACCACAAGATCTGAATCACAGCGCCGAGTATATCGCCCTGGTCGGCTCATTCATCCTCGTCGGGCTTGAAGCAATCATCCGAATTCTTACCCTCGCCCTACGTCAGTAGCTCTACTCCCAATATCCGCCACAGCACTAACACCTCGTTCTTAGCGAGCTCCCTACTACAACTCTTCTACGGAGCTTCACGGCGATTGTTTAACCAATTCACATCACCTCAGCAAAAAAAGGCACAGGAAAGGCGCAAATGTAAGAGGATTACCAATCGATGGACTTCGTATATACACAAACTAAAGCCTCCCCCTTAGCTATATCGACCTCGATCCGAAATGCTTCCGACTTTGTCGACCTGTGCGCTGCCTTTGGCTATACTGCGGAAGAACATGTAGTGCAAACCAAGGACGGATATCTGCTAGGTGTTCACCGTTTGGCATGGCGCAAAGGCGAGGAAGATTACAAGGTCAATGCTGGACCCAACAGTATTAAGAAGAAGGTTGTGTACATGCACCATGGGCTCTTGATGAACAGCGAGGTCTGGGTCTGCCTCACAGACGAGCAGCGCTGTCTGCCGTTTGTGCTGGTTGACAGGGGATATGATGTTTGGGTATGTTGTTCCGAGAATATACTCGCGCGCTGGCTGACACCGCTTGCAATAGCTGGGCAACAATCGAGGAAACAAATATTCCAAAAAGTCCATCAAGACATCGCCTCAATCCCTCGATTTCTGGAACTTTTCCATCGACGAGTTTGCCTTCCACGACATTCCTGATACTATCGCATACATCCTCGATTCCACTAGCCAGCCCTCGCTCTCTTATATCGGATTTTCCCAGGGCACAGCGCAGTCATTTGCCAGCTTGGCAGTCCATCCAAAGCTAAACGATCAAGTCAATGTGTTTATCGCGCTTGCACCGGCCATGTCTCCTGCTGGTCTGCAAAATGGCGTTGTCGATGCTTTGATCAAGGCATCTCCGCAGGTCCTGTTTCTCCTCTTTGGCCGCCGCTCGATTCTTGCCTCAGCGACCATGTGGCAATCTATTCTCTACCCACCCATCTTTGTGCGAGTTATCGACATGGGCTTGGACTTTCTCTTTGGATGGAAAGCCACAAATATTTCCATGTCCCAAAAGCTTGCTGCCTATCCTCATTTGTATTCGTTTACCAGCACCAAATCAGTCGTTCACTGGTTCCAGATTATTCGCAACAAGTCTTTTCAAATGTACGACGACGATGTACATCCTCCCCTGAGCACCGCGAGCCGATATACCAAGGTTGCCAAGTATCCGACTCGAAACATCAAGACGCCCGTGGTCTTGGTCTACGGAGGTAGTGACTCGCTCGTCGACATCAAAGTCATGCTCCGCGAATTGCCCAACCGCACAGTGGCTACCGAGATCCCCCACTATGAGCACTTGGACTTTCTCTGGGCACGAGACGTCGACACTCAGGTCTTTCAGCATGTATTTGACGCCCTGGACAATTTCACCGATGCCGAGCACACTAAGGAAGAGTTTGAAAGCTATCGTCGGGCACGTCATGTTAGCCTTGGTGCTTCTGCCTCATTTCGACACCAGTAAGTGTAGCCAGATGATCCTAGAAGATTATGATTGAGGAATCTAACTTTACTATAGCAGATATCGCCACAGCGATGCTATAGAGTCTGATTCCGCATCGGTTAATGGCCTTGTGGAAACTTCAGTGGATCCCTCAATGGCACATCAGGCGCGCGAGAGCACTTCAAGTCCAGCTGTAACGGCACCAGGGTCGACAACGACGGAGACTTCTGGCACAACCTTGACCTCGCAGACGGCAGATCCATCATATGCTCAAGTTGCCTCGGAAGACCCAACGCCAGAATCGCCTCAGCAACCCAACGCCACTTCAGACGGCGCAGCAGACAGCCCGTCGGGTCGTCCACATCACGACTCGAAAATTCCCTCGCCTACAGTTAGTACCAACAGCGTGAGAACACCTCAGCGGAGACGAGGCAGCACGGCTAGTAACCTTAGCATCGAATCTCCCAAAGACGGAAGAGGCAAAGGAGGTGGCATCAAAATAGCCACGGCAAAGCCAGTGGGAGGTGTCGTTACGGGGACAGCGGGTGCTGGGGATCTAACGCCCAGCAGTGGTGATGAAGCAGCCAAATCACGCCAGGGCCGGTGATGAATTGTGAGCAATCGGTGGAAGAAGAAGAGAAACTGTTTAGATTCCAATGCATAAAATGGCTGGTCATAGATGAAAATAAGATTGCCCCATGGGGATTTCATTATTGCCAAGTGTGATCTATCACAAGCAACATGATCAGACGCGTATATCTTGATACATGACCCCCTTACTCGAATTGAGTTCGGAAACTATATAACTTATTTTGCAACTATAACAATTGTCTCCTTTATATACTTGTTGATAAAAGGTGACACAGTCAATGTCTTGAAGGCATCCTATATTAAAGCAATGCTTGGATTGAGATATTCACAAATGTCACTAATAAGATTGTCACAAGTGGAGAAACGTCTTTAGATGGTATGGCTTTTGTCATTTTATCTAAAATATCCTATAAACAGACCTCTCACCATATGCGCATTGTGGTAATGTGGCAGTGGCACTTTCCCATTCTAGTGAACGCTGAGGAAAGTGTATATGTCTGTCCCGTCGTTTTCATCTCGTCGTCAATTGTATTTTGGTATAATTATTTAGACTTTTTGGGAGTTATCCCGAGCAAGAGAGTGGCTCATGAGAAATTTATGCCTGGACCTTGGCCTTGAGGATGTCCTTGAGGGTGACGGCATCGGCGGCGAACTTGCTGATACCCTCACGCAGCTTCTCGACGGCCATCTGCTCCTCGTTGAAGTCGAAGCGGAAGAGAGCCTCGTCGTTGATGTAGGTCTTCTTCTCCAGGTTCAGGCTGGAAGCACCGGCAGCATCGAGCTTCTTGGGGACAGCGTCGTTGCTGTTGAGCAGCTCCTCAAGCAGGTTGGGGGAGATGGTCAGGTAGTCACAGCCAGCGAGCTCGGTGATCTCGCCAATGTTTCTGAACGAGGCACCCATGACAATTGTGTTGTAGCCAAACTTCTTGTAGTAGTTGTAGATGGCCTGGACGGACTTGACACCGGGGTCCTCCTCCTTGGAGTAGTCCTTCTTGGTGGAGGCCTTGTACCAGTCAAGGATACGACCAACGAAGGGAGAGATGAGGAAGGCACCGGCCTCAGCGGCGGCAATGGCCTGAACCAAGGAGAACATGAGGGTAAGGTTGGTGTTGATACCGTGGTCGCGCTGGAGGATCTCGGCGGCCTTGATACCCTCCCATGTCGAGGCAATCTTGATCAGGATACGCTCCTTGGGGATACCTTGTTGCTTGTAGAGCTGTATTGCGGTATTTTGTTAGCAACATGCTTCGCCTTCAAATTGAGGTCCATTCGCAAGTTATATGCTCTTTGCTGCACGGAGCGGTAAGACGGGTAAGCAGGACATACCTCAATGATGTGAAGGGCCTTGTCGACGGAGGCCTTGGTGTCGAAAGAGAAGCGGGCATCGACCTCAGTGGAGACCTTGCCAGGGATGATCTTGAGAATCTCCTTGCCGAACTCGACCAGGAGGCGGTCGAGGGCATCGTCAACCTGCTCGTCGACGCTCTTGCCCTTGCTGCTCACCTTGGCGGCGGCAATGGCCTCGTCAATGAGCTTGGCGTACTCGGCCTTCTTGGAGGCAGCGAGAATCAGGGAAGGGTTGGTGGTGGCATCTTGGGGCTTGTATTTGCCAATGGTGGCAAAGTCACCGGAGTCGCAGACGACAACCTAGAAAACAGAGAGAGCATGATTAGTTTCTCAGTCGATATACAAGAATTTTAAAGTCCAATGTTGCAGCTATGCTCCTGGAAGATGCTGCTACTCCAGTAAACCTCGCCCCGAACCCAGTTGAAAGAGCTTCAGCCGGCACCAGATCGCCATGAGCGAGGGATGGGAAGAACAGCTTTTCCTTCACGATGCGGGGCACTCGGATGGTTGAGACAAAAGGAGGAAAGGAAGGCGAGGAGGGAGGGGTTTGTTTGTTTCGAGCAACTTACGGTGCCGCTGTTCTTGAGCTGGTCCAAAGAGGTCGACATGTTGATCTGTGTTACTGTGGTATTGTTTGGGGTATATGAAAAGAAGATGTTCAAGGTTCGGAATTGAGATGTGGAATGAAGAGGAAGAAACTTGAAGAATATGAAGCAACAGGAATAGAAGTCAATCGGTCCTCTCGGGGGGTTGTTGGGATCAGATTCTTTTATTGCGCTGGGTGGCCGATGGAGGGGCAACGACGCAACCTACCGGCGCTCGCTCGCTCGCCCGCCCATCAGAAACGTAACGCAGCGCAGCGGCAGCATAGCGAAACGTGCAAAAAAACCAGCGTCATACCTCTCACATCACTTCTCCCACCCACCCCCCACCCAGACCAAGCCAACCCCTACCTTGAAGCTGGACCCCCCTCCAGAGGACCCAAGGACCCATACAATTGGCGGCTGGCCCGATTGCGCCCCAGTTTATTCCTCCGTCTAGTCCCCATCATTCGCCTCATAGTAATGACAAAAGGCGACGATGCCGGCTCCGGCTGCTGCGGATTCGTTCCTCGTGTCGTGTTTTTCTCTCTCTCTCTCTTTTACATAGTACCTGGTAGTCGTCTGTGCTGTTATTACCGCTGCTTCCATTCACTCCATGAAGAAAATGCCTCGCCTTGTCAAACGTGCTGGCTTGCAACACAGTATGCAAGTATGTCCTGTCTACCTTACTCACAAAGCATGGACCACCACCGCGACTGGAGACCACTGTCGTCGATGACATTCCATCTTACCCACTTCATAATATTGAGCTACGGCTCGCTCTGCTTAATAAGGGACAGACATGTTGTGCTATGTCCGAAGTGAGTACTTTGTAGTAGCGGCTAGGTACGCAATGGAAGTTGCCGCCCGTTGATTCCATCTCTCAATTGCACCCGTGACGTGAAATGTTTTTTTTTCTACTTTATTTCCCCCTCCAGCGAGCCTCCTTTTCCCCCGTTACAATCTAAGCTTTCGGTGTTAGTTAGTCAGCTAGGTAAGCCATCTCTCGCTTTGATCTTTCCCGTCCCGCTGCCTCAAAGGATCCATGGATGGGCACTTACTCATCCTCGACCCGAGACGGTTTCTACGTGCACGTGTGGTAGCAGAATTGCGACTCGGTCGTCTGATTGGAGGGCTTCAAAAGTCTCTGTGCTGCAACCCCAATCAGGAAAATACGATCCGCGTACCTACATTATCTACGATTGTTCATGGTTTCTTTTTCCCGTACCAATAATCGCCTAGAGTCCTGTTTTGTTGGAGTGTGTCCATTGCACCAACGTTTGCCCGTATCAGAGATCTAGATTCCAAACCCCCCGCGGCAACCAATTTGAGACTCTTTTTGCTTCGCATTGCCAGGCCTAACCTGTATATCTCCCAATATCTAATCCACCGCCCTGCCGATTTGCGGGAATAGTGATGCGCGTGCGGGCTTACATTACTCTCCAATCTCTTCGTACAACAATACTTGCACGGAATATGTTCCCGACAGGTTGTCATGCAATTTGTCGTGCTTCGCTCATGTCGGTCAATGTCTCCGGCAGGTGTCCATCAAGTTCCATCGAATCGCCAAGCGTCTGAAGTCGGCGCTAAGACATAAGCGAACGCTGCAACATTCGAGGCCGAACCGGCGACTTACACTCTGTTTGCTCAAAACGGATCTCAGCTACTAAATCAGTCACAATATCATGCGTTTCATACAATCAGCCTCAACCAGTTCAAAATACACATCATACTTTTTATTATTGGTCTTGCCCCGCTAGCCACTGTTGCGAGATATATTTAAAATCTCGAAGCCGTTGGTTTTATATCCTTTTTGCATCAATCATAAGAAAGCAGGCTCAGAGACTTGACTAGTCCTCAGTAATGTCACCGTACTCCCACATGCCACGTCTCTCTGACTTGGCCTGTGTCTCGACCTGGCGCAACTTCTTGAGGACCTCGGAGCTCTGAGCGCCTCTCTCCCAAGCCTTCAGCTTCGTGGGGATCAAGGCGAGACCAGCCGCAACAATGTCCTTGTTGACGGATTCGGTGAAGGATTGGCTCGAGTCGGTTGCATCAAAGAGGGTGACATAGTTGAGTCCCTCCTTGGGGTCAGAAAAGTCGATGCTGGCAACCAACTTTCTGCCATCAGTGGCATCGGCCAGGAAGTCAATGGCCTCGTTGAAGTAATCGCCGTTGGGCAGTTGCACGTATGACAGCACTGCATCGACAGCCTGGGGCTTGAGGCGTTGTGTGTTGAACTGGGGTTGGTCAAGAGCCCGCAGGTTCGACCAAGGAATCTTTTCCGAGTTACCGTAGTCGATGTAGACAACTTCGGCAACCTTGGCAGTCCGGTCGTTTGATCGGATCTTTGCACGATACCACTGGCCGTCAGCAGAGAACTTGGCAGCAACAATGTCGCCAGCCTTGGGTGGGTTCGCCAGGGCCTTGTTGTTCTTAGAGTCGAGGTGAAATTTCTTGAACTCGCTCATCAGGGTCTCAAGAGCAGCGGTGCCAGAGCCAATGATCTGGACCTTGAGCTTGCCATTGGAATCAATGTTTGTCACCACGACATCCTTGTACTGTGCTGTCTGCTTGTCCTGGGCCACGGGCTCGGCAGTAGTGTTCTCGGCATAGTCAGCCTCTTCGGCTTCCTCGTCCTGCGACGGATCCCAATCGTGCCATTTGCCCTTGCGCGCCTCTTTTGCACGCTTTTGCGCAGCATTGAGCTCATTGGCGTTGCCAGACTTCTCTGCAGAGTACTGGTGCACCTCGGCCAAACCCTCTTCCACCAAAAGTTTACCAAAGCTCTCCCTGCCGATGTAGAGATCACCAATGAAGCCACCAATCTTGTCAATGTCGTAGACGTCGACCTCGCAATCACGCTGGTTGCACCGCCGGTTGGCAAGGTCCAGTGCCTCCTGTCCAAACGGCTCACCCTTGTCCTGAGGCAATCGTGGTGCGCGGGGTGCGCGGATGCCAGCAAGGACCAGAGTAATCTTGACGCCCTCGCGGGGAATCAGAACAGTGAATCTAGATCCAGCTTTGCAGAAATCCACAATACCAGGGACCTTCTTTTGTCTCTGGAGAGTTGAGACCTGAATCTTCGCACGTTGTACCGACTCGGAAGCATCAGTGTATGTCTTGGCCTTGGAAGCCTTGCCAGACCAGATACCCTTCTTCTCCTTTTGTGCGGCTTCTTGGGCAGCAAGAAGCTCATCGTAGTTCTCAGCTCTGTCCGTGTCATCCTTGCGGTGTCGAATGACGGAAGCCCAGCCTTCCTCGACCAACTGCAGGTTGATGTTTTTACCCTTTTCCGTGATGGTAGCAACATCCCTGGCCTCGAACCCTTCACTTGCGGGCTTCGTGCCGTCAATGGTGACTTTGACGTGCTTTCCAATCAGCTTCTTTCGCAGAAACTCCTTGGCCTCATCCCTGAAGGGGGCCTCCGCAGGCTCCTTGGCACGAGGTGCACGAATACTGCTCAAGCTGACCTGCTTCTCCTCGCCAGTCTTGCTTCGCACGTAAATCGCATCAGACGAAACGATCTTGGAGACAATCATGTCGGACGAGCCTCCCTCGGTGGCCTTGACGGTGCTGTTCTTGTGCAAGCGAAGCTTGCCCACCTGAGCCTTCTTTTCGGCAGCTCTGAGGGGCGCCATCTTCTCTGACAGCATGGTGGAGTGGAAATCGTTGCACCGAGCCAATCCGTCTGCAAGAAGGAACTCTGCAATGCTACCTCTAGGATGCAAAACATGTCCAACCAGTTGACCCTGAGGGCTGACGCCAACCATCTCAACCTTGACATCGCGCTGCAAAAGTCTATCTTCGACATAAGTTCGTGCCTCATTGCCAAATTCTTCAGCAGGTTGAGTAAGACCCGTTGAAGTATTGGTTCTCTCAGTGGAAGGAGTGCGGATACCGGCAATCAGCGTCATGACCTGCAGATGCTTCTTGTCGGAGAGCTTGATTCGGCAGAGAACACGGTCACCACTCAGGACTCTCTCGACTATAGCATCAACAGTCTTGCCCTTCCACTGATTGAAGAAGTCAGGGGTTCCCAGGTCGTTTTGAACTTCGATGGAACCTCCTTTTCCATGCAGGCCCTTTTCAGCAGCCTTTGCCTCAGACTCGGCTTCCTTCAGTTCGTCAATTTTGGCCAAAAGATCTTCAGACTCCTCCTTTCGACCAGCATCTTCGCGGACCTTGAGCCAGCCCGCCTTCACGGCTTCGATGGGTAGTTCAGTGCCGTCCTGCAATTGCACAATACCATACTCACGTCCTGAGGACGGGATGGTGTAGTACACATTGCACTTAACAAGTTTTCCCAGGGCGACACCTCTCAAATACTCGCGGGATTGAAAGGCAAATGCATCGTCTCCTTCCTTGCGCAGGCGAGGAGCGTCCACGTAAGCCAAGGAAAAGGTGCGCTCCAGGGTCGGGTTGTTGGGCGAGGTCAGGATGAGAGTGTCACCACTCAGCACCGACTTGACTTTGGCCATAAACTGCTTCGGCGCCGCCATGTTGAATCAGTGAGCCAGTTGCTGGAATCCGGAAGGGTTGTAAGCTGAATGACCAGGTAGGATGGAACTGTGCTTCTTGCTTTTTATATCCTGTTATGATGTCAGCTTCAAGAACGATGACCTGGTATTCATGTTCAGTCCAAGGAAGATAGAATAGAACGATGAATGGTCTGAAATAGGTAAGCGATAGAGCAAAGCCGAGGGGGCAGACACTCTAAATATGGCGCCATGTGTCCTCGTAAGATTGAGAGTGACCTGAGACACCAACTGTCCTTTGCCTTCATCCGTGGACCAATTCCAAAGAAAACCAGCACGGAACTCTTAATATGAAAATAAACCCCAGAGTCTGAGTGTGACAGGGTCGTTCCAGTATACTTTTGGCTGCAAACAGTTCCCAGTCTTGTAAAGACCATGTCATGCTGCACGTGACCCACCACATCAATTACCACATCTCGTATCTGTAGACAATGTTGAATATGACCACGATGGTGTAGATGATGTGAGCCATTCAAAGGAGTGACAGGGCAAGGGCCATGTGCATCAATTGCTGGTTATGTCGTTGGTGCCAGAAGTGCCTCAACTCTAGGTCCCGTCTTTCGAGTTCAATGTGTACAAGTGGGAAGGAATGGGTATATGGCGTGGGCAGGTTAGGTAAGGAAAGGGCGGCACCAAAGTGCCTGGTCTTTTTTGGATACTTACATGCGTCACAAGGATGACTGAAGCTCCAGCTGTCGAACAAAAAGTCTTGTAGAAATACTATAGGCAGAAAGTGATCAAAAGTGAAAAGGGACTGTCTGTTTCAATGTCTCCTGAGAGATCGTGTTGATTTGGACTCGTTCTCGAATTTGACACCTGGGCAACTTTCCTAATTTTGTGGGGAAAGCTCCAAGGCTGGACTGGAGGAGGCGCTTCTTTGCCGCTTCCGGGCCACTTACAGATCGCCAGGGTTCTTGTTCTTAGCGAGGGGCGGGGGACGGAATAGGAGACAGGCCAGACAGTAAGGGGTCCGTCCTTTGCCTGCTACATTACCTAGGTATGCACTACCACTGCGCAAATGATGGCGGGGCACAGCAGCTGCACATGGAAGGAGGGGTCACACTAATCTGTTCTCTGCACATTCATGAAGGCACCTCATTATAAAGCAATCTGTGATCAATCTCTTTTGCAACATGAACATCCAAAATCCTACAGTTGTTCATACATTGCACATATCCATGTATGCATATGCATTCTTGTGCTTTGTACTATGTAGCTTGATAATAGACCACTAACATGATAAATGCGTCGAGCTAAGCCAGAGCTCTAGAATGAGCTATGGAGCTATGATGGCGACATGGAAGCTCTTTTGCTATCAGAGCTCTTGCGACAAGCCCCGCCGGAGGTTACGAGCTTGAAACACCAGGCTTCATTACTGTGCAAGACCAGCAGACAATCATAATTCAATCATGATGTGACAATCAATATGGGAATCAATACATGTTCTGAACACTTTTATTTTTGTATAACTACTTTAATAGTATATGCTCAGGCAGCCAATTAGAGCCTAGGCGACAGCTTTTCAAGACTCAATCATCAACTTGTTATCTAATCAGTGATCCGTTGAGAATTGACTTAGTTGGAGATACCAATGACACCTGTTAAGTTGTTAGTACACTCTGGCAATATCAGGCGTAAAGAAGTTGTGAAGGTCAACATACCGCAAGCAGGGCGGGCACCAGCGTTACCAGTCTTGAGAGACTCCTCGTTGTCACCCTTGCCGAGATCGTCGGTGCCAGCGTGGACGACGACAGTTCGCTGTTATATGTTAGATTGTATATAGACATGTGTAGCAAGAGTACTTACGCCAATGACGCTCTCGGGTCCGATTAGCTTAACGAGCTTGTCCTCGGTAGAGCCCTTGGAGTTACCCTGGCCATCGAAGTCGAAGTTGCCGAGGTCACCAACGTGGCGCTTCTCGTCAGTGGGAGCACCGTGAGTGGAGTTGTGAGGGTTGACTGTAGATACGGCATCAGTCAGACGACTATTCTTCTTTAATGTATGTGTGTTGTCATCGGTGCAACGTACAGTGAGGTCCGGCAGAGGTGCAGCCGTTGGTGTTGTCACCGAAAGTGTGGATGTGCATGCCACGCTTGGCGTTGGCATCGTGGCCCGAGATGTCCCATGAGATGGTCGTAGGGGTAGACTCGGAGGTCTGCTCGAAGGTGATGGTTCCGGTGATCTTGGAGTCACCACGGACAACAGCAACTATAGTGGCGGAAGCGCCGGTTAGTTAGCAAATGACTCGGATAGATGTTATAGTCCTTGAGACTCTTCTTGGTAACAGCTGGGGGTTCCACAAAGTAGAGCAACTCGAGCTTGAGTCTCATCGAATCGCTTCGTTCAGAGGTTGCCCATCAAGGTACAACAGTCCATCAAGGTCGTTGTCGGGCTTCTGAAAAAACAGCCTCAATTCTGCTCAGAGAAGCTTCCCCCTCCACCAAACAAGCGGGGAATGTCCGTACAGGAATAGTATTTGGGGGTAAGAGTGCGTGGATATATAAAAGTACATACCGGCCTTAACCATTTTGACTGATTTTTGGGTTGTTTGGGGCGGATTGATTTTTCTTGTTTAGAATACAGAATATTTTCGTTCAGACGACGACAGTTCACAAAGTAAGAGAAAGAAGACGTCAGGCTTCTACGCGCAGGACATGAGGGGTTTCATTTCCACTTAGTACTCCATATCTCCTCCCCATTCCAACCGCCGACGATTCGGACTTTGAAGCAAGCTGGCTGGTGCCGAAATGCTACCAGAGTGGGGGTAAGTGTCCCAAAGGTAAGACCTTTGCCCCGCTCGCAGCAAAGAGGTCATCGCTGCCGTCATTTTTTCGCAAGAGGGAGCTTACAAATGGCACAAAAAGCTACGAGGTACCTACGGAATCCTACCGTGCACGCAGTTTCCTGTGCAATGATATCCACCTGCAGATGGTGAAGGCTCCGAACAAGGAAGCGCTCCCCGTTCCTTTCGGCACTGTTTCGGCTAGCACCAGCTGGCGGATGGTTCTCCTACGTTGCCGTCGGGAGATGGTTATTGGATGTCGACATGGCCGATACTCGGTGCCGTATATGATTCCAAATCCTCTGTCTGAGGAGGGCGCGAGTATATATTCGTTATAGCAGGTGGAAATCGTCACATGTGTACGATTTCAATTGTTTGCACTAGACGACCAACCGCACTTTGGAAAGACAAAAGCAGATGACCTTGCGCTTGACTTCATGAATCGCATTCGCTCTTTGGCTCCGCATCAGCCTGGCAGTTGTATGTAGAAGAGCTTGAACTGAGTACAAGCAAAGGAAACATCGGAATGGCTTTGCTGCAAAGCGGAACAAATTTGCGTGTCCGGTCTTAACTTTTGTGATACCTCTCGTGGCAAAGATCTGGCGTTGAAAGGGTAGCTTGTGGTATCTCCCCGGGTGCAAAAGTTGTTTACCTAATATATCGATACAGTGACATCGAGAATATGCGCCCGGTTGATCCGAGCTTCATGCCATATGCTGACGGTCCGTGGAGAGATTCCATGAGGTCGAGCTGAAAGTCTGATCACGTCGCGGAAACACAAGTGACTGATCGGATACCAAAACTTGTGCGTATAGTCCTAGCCATCAACGGATCTACTTCTGCTACTTGGATGGAACAATGAGTTGAGGCGACGGGTTATGACCACTCCTAGACTACACGAAATTATCTGCATCTAACATTACCCAAATTCGTCTATGAAGATGGTAAGTCCAGAAAGCTCCCTGGTAACTAGCTCAGCCCTATGACTTTATGATCCAAAAAAAGAACACCTACCTAAGATAGGGTTTTCCAGGTGGCCTCGACTCATCTGTGGAAGTTCGTTCGTATGCAGTGCCTACAAAGTGATGACCTACTTCACGTCCCACGGAAACTACTATGAGGTCTTGACCGTGATAGTCAAGACCTGTCTGACCCTACCTTGCTGCCAAGCTCGAGTAGAAAGGACGTGGCCCGTTATCCCATCAAAGCATACTACCTACGTATTGTCAAAGTAGTTCCACAACAGAGATGTTGACAAGCGATGCTCCTGGGAGAACCGACTGCCAACGTTGTAATTGCACGGAAATGCCGGGTGTAGTAAGTGAACAATGCCAACCGGCACGCCCTGGGGGCCCAGATCCTCCTCGAAACTTGTCACCAAAAGCAGTAAGCGTACAGGATTCGGATCAAATACACGTGTCTGTCAATTGTTGAGGCTTGCAGAAATTACGGCCCGGCATGTAAACACAGAGCCTACAGGGTAAACACATTCACAATAGGATTCCATCAATACAACTGATGGGACTATGATATTTGGATCACGATGGCAAGCACTACCTACATGTAATTGACATGTGCAATTTGCAGCTTTGCAACAAAAGTTCCATGTTTTTGAACTACTGCCCATTTGTGACGTGTGATTATGTTGTTCAGAGTTATGATCAGCAGGGATTCTTGAATAAGCCCCCAAACGAGACAATGACGCCCAATTCTTCGTCACCCGCGCAACGACGAACATCTTTTAGCATGGGAGCTAGCGGCGACATCATCGTCACCAATTTAAATGGGCCAGCAATAGGACAATGAGAGATATTAATGAGGGATCAGTACATTGGCAGGCACTTTCTCCGACAATTGAAGCTCGCGGCGCGAGCATCAGTACGATAAGGAGAAGAATCTTGGATTTTGGTCAATAAACATATCCGCATTCTGCCCTATGAGGATGTTGGAGGGTTCCCCCAGAGCCCCAGACCTCAGCACATGCACACCCGACGGGAGACCCTGAAATCCCGGTTGGCCTAACTTGCCAGTGGGTGCACAGCGCACAGTCTGGACTCTCGACTAGGTACCCAGGTACTAGGCGAGCTGGTCGCAAAGGGTCCAATGCTTGGACTTGAATTGCAGCCACGGTCTCAACATGTTGTAAGATATGTCTTATCAGGCCAGGTCTTTCTTTTCATGACTTGCTTCAGGACTCATGTAGACGCATGTCAGATGCTAGGAATTGTTATCATGTCGTGGAAACTGCAGGTGCGACGAGAATTGCTAAAATTGGTGCTGATGCGACGAGATCATCTTGGCTCAATCAAATTTTCAACTCTTGCTGTCTTGTGCCAAGTAAACCTTAGGTGGTAAAATGAATTTGAGGATCACGGTTGGGCCCTCCCAAGCTCCCTCCCTCTCAACTCGAAGCGGGCCTAGTAGGTAGGTACCTAACCTAGCCCGTCCAATCCCCCATGCCGGACGGCGGACAAGCGGACACAGCTCGCCGCTTTGCCTGCCAACCTACAGAGTACACTAGAGCCACAACGGCAGCACATCATCATCCTACGTATTTCCAGTTCTTTCGCAACTGCAGCATCAACGGACAAATCATGACGATGCCAACCTGATCAGTTCACCCCTCTTTTGTTGATCTGGTCAGATTGCTGTGATAGTCCACTTATCTTCGAAACGGGCCTTCAAGACACTACCTGTCGCCCCATTTGGATATACTACCATAGACAGGCAGCTCTCAAGTGTTTCGTGCGCATGCCTACCAGGGCCCAACCACACAAGCATCAGGGAGTCAATCAGTTCAGTCAGTCAGCCTAATTACCATACCTACTAGGCTGTGGGCGGCCGCAGTTCGCTCTACTTTGTTCACCGACAACGACAACGCCCGACTACTCTTCCTGTTCCCGGACGAGGCGATTGCGACGCGGCACCAATCGAATCATTAGATACCTACGTTGGAAGTTCTGCTGCGGCTCTCCCCAGGCACCTCCCGTGTTTCAAGCATCGATAGCAAAGATCGTTTCGCGGTCACTGCCTCCCCCGATAGCCAGTCATCCACCCAGGCCCTCGGGAAAAATTGTGTTTCTAAGTCATATCTTGTGCTCGCATCCAAGTCGAGAAGAAGAAGAAAAAATAGCCTAAACGCTCGAATCGGCCGGGCGCAATTGTCGAGTCCACCGAATGGTGGTGCACATCGCTGACAACAGCGGGGCGAATGGGTACTCATTCCCGTAGTTTGGTCAAATCGCAATCGGCACACGGCACCGGCGACGGTATCGACTGATGCGACAGCTGGTCAGCTGCTGCATTGGATTTTGAAAGACAGCGACGACCCAGGTTTTCTGCTTCCACCCCATTTTGCTGCTTGTGCTTGTACCCTCGATCGCGCCAAACCGCCTCTTTGTCTTTATTGTCTGCGCCCAAATTGCAAGCAGCCATGTCGTTCCGAGGCGACGAGCAACGCCGATACGGTCATGTCCCGCCGGTCCAATACCCTGTCGCCAACGACGGCAATCAAGACATCCCCAACAGGAGGCTGAGTTTCAACAGTGGCGACGACGGCGCTGCAACATCATATAGTGCGGGAGGCAACCGCCAGCCTTACCATCCAACCATCAATACCAGGGGTCTAGGACATGAAGAAGAGCTATTCATTGCAAGTAGCGCAGAAACCGCACGACCAAGCTATGGCTCGACAAATCCAGCAATGTCCGGCTACCAACACCAATACGCTGCTCAAACGCCCTCGTCGCCGTCAACGTATAATCCCCAGGCCTTTATCGGTCGTGCTCAATCACAGTCGCTCCCATATTCTCCACATCCGACGTCGAATCGTTATGGGGCGCAGAGCACTGCTGCTCCATACAGTCCCACGACCTCAACGCCAAACTACACGCCCGCCCCATACAATCCTGCAGCGTATTCAAATACCACCAGCCCGGCAGTCCCGCAGCGGCAGTCGACTTACGCAGGTGCCCAGTACAGTGGCTACAATAGTCAGAGTTATTCGCCAACTCCAGCCATGAATCCATCAAACTACTGGCAAACGCAGCCGTCGTACGCTTCATCAGCTCAGACGGCACAAACGTCACCGCCCCCTACTGCCTACGGTGCTTACGATCAACCATCACCGGGTCACCCGCCCTACGACACGTCTCAATACCCTTCCCAGAATATATATGCCGCAAGCACGACAAGCCCACCGTCGACCTCGTACTCGACGACAACATCAGCTCAAGCGCCGTACCCGACGTATTCAAACATACCCGTCGGGCCGAATTACTCTGCCAACGATCCTCACTCGTTTCTGACGAACAGAGCCTCGAGGTCCAGCTCTCAGGTGTCGCCACTGCCTTCTCCCCCCATCCAGCGTCATTCAGCCTCGCCCGGACTAGCAAGACACCCGACAAATGCCCCTTTGCCGAGCCGGCCCGCAGCAGATGAGTCCTGGGGCGACTCGAACGGCGGATACGGTGGCGGTCTTTCAGAACATGTCATGCAGGACAATATCATGAAAGATATCGAGGCCGAGCTACATGGCAGTCCAGGCTCTCAAAGAAACAGACCACGGCCATTCGACCAGCGAAATGGAGGTGTCAGGGATAACGACTTGCAGAATCTTCGCCGGCTTACATCTACTGCGAGTTACCATTCCACGGCGACGACCGTAAACGCGCAGGACGACGGAGCTGGTGTGGAACGTTACTCTTCAAATGCATCCACTGTCAACCGCAATCATTCACAGAATCCATATCCTTATCCAGACGACGACGGTGACGAGAGCGATCCAGAAGCGGCGGCCGGACTACTTGCCATGCAGCAAGCGGATGAAGACGACCGTCGGCATAGTTCAGGAATGTCGTTCCCTCTCTTCAGCCAACCAGAAGTGAGTCTTCATCCTTCTATGCCAAACTTGCCAGAGGAGCCCAGTAGCGATAGTGATTATGCTGCAATGGACTTGGGCCTCTTCAGTGGCGGTTATGCAGGCAACTTGAACTATGACAACAATCTGGCATCGCCTCCCGAGGACGACATCTACTCGCAAGACACCCAAACCATGCCAACCCCACGAAGCCGTCATGCGTCACAACGAAGTCACGAAAGCAACCGCTTTCCCGCTTTCGAAGAGGCTGGCCTCGACTATGGCGACACTGGTGGCTTGCAAGCCCCCACCGCTCACCGATTGAGTTTCGATGAAGGCGATGAGCGGGTATCACTGCACTCAAGACAAAGCGGCAGTGAATCTCCATACAAGGAAGATTACCCAGACATGTTTTACCACCCGGGCTTGTCCAGCAGACCACTTCCAGCAATTCCTGCAAATCCCAACTCTGACAGCAGTTCCTTCTTGTCGGTACAGTCCCCTAACCGTGGTGGAGCACAACAAAATTATTCATTCAGCACCGACCCGCGGCCGTACAGCGGACCTGATGCATCCTATGGCCAAAACGCTCAACAATTACAAGTCGAGAGGTCCATATCATTATCTGGCCACAGCACAGCGCCACAGGTTCAGATTCCCAACAGGTCAAGGACTGATGCAGAGGCCAACCGCATGAAGCACATGCGGCAACAGCAACAGTTAGCAGCACAGCAGGGTCTGCCCTACGAAGGTTACGATGCTGGTACTCCATCATCGGGTATCGACTACGATGTCATCACGTTGCCTAGTGGAAGGAAGAAGAAGTTCATCCCCGAGAAACTGACCATTGTTGACACACGGACATGCATTGAACCCTGGGCCTTGAGCGGCATCTCTCAGTGGCTGCGAGAAATGGCCGAGGGCGAACCAGATCTCAAGCGAAAGACGGTCGAGGATGGGCTTGTACGCCTGTTTTGCATCAAGGTGCCAACGATGAACGTCGCCGATGCCGAGGGCCTCAGCTCTACCGTTGTGGATGTGATGATGTCAGCCGGCATTCTCGTTCCAGAGGAAGAGTGGCTGAAGTTTGGCCCTGGTACGGTTACCGGTGTGCTGTGGCAGCTAACAGGAAGTGGCTGTTATGCGCAACGACTACATGAAGTTGATGACGATGTCAGCGCGCATGAATTGTCGACGAGATGCTACTCCCATTACTGCGGCCGGACACTGAAGAAGGCCAACATTGATGACATTCTTGCCGATGGGGTCAAGAAGGTCGACTGGGCTACATATTATAGCTTGAAACCCGATGATCTAGAGGGTAAGCACAAGAAAGAGATCGAACGCCAAAACAATCTTCACGAAGTCATCACGAGTGAGGAGGACTTTATGGACCAGCTTGATGTTCTCGCTGTGCTATACCGAAATCGTCTTCTCGGTTCCCAGCCGCGTATTGTCGCTGAGAACAGGATTGAGAAATTCGTCAATGCTGTCTTTGGCAAGATTGATGCAATTCAGCAGATTAACAAGGACCATCTACTTGCGCAGCTAAAGTATCGCCAAAAGGAGCAAGGTCCTTGGATTATCGGTTTCAGTGACCTTTTCCGAGAATGGATTCGAAAAGCCAAGGTGGCGTATATCGAGTACGCTTCATCCTACCCATACGCCACATACCTAGTGAGAAAAGAAAAGGATCGAAACTACATGTTCAAGCAGTTCCTTGAGGAAAATCGAGCACATCCACGGTCTCAGAAGTTGGACTGGACAACCTTTCTCAAAGCCCCCATCACGCGTCTACAACGATACAATTTGCTACTAGGCACTAGCATGAAGAACATGCTTGATGATAGCGAGGAGAAGGTTAACCTGATGAAAGCCATGGAGGAAATCAAACAAGTCGCTTTGGAAGCAGATGCCAAAGTGGACGAGATGACAAAGAAGGTCACCATGATTGAGCTTGGGCAAATGCTTGTTCTGCGCCCAGGATTCCACGCGGATCTCAATCTCGATCATCTTGGCCGTGAGCTGATCATCCAGGGCGATTTGCAAAGAATGGGTTCAAAAGGTGTACGATGGGTCGATACGCATGCATTGCTGTTTGATCATTATCTTATCTTGTCCAAACTTGTTCCGTCAAAGGACGGTAGACTGGACAAGAAGTATGATGTATCAAAAGAGGTGAGTTGACACATATATGCATACTATATATCATCTGTACTAATTGTATTAGCCGATTCCTATGCCGCTACTCTTCCTTGAGAGCAGCCAGGACGAGGCGGTTTCGAAGCAAAAGGGTATCGGTACACCCTTGACAAGGGCAGCAAACTCCACCACAGATGTCAGAAAGGGCGTAGATCCGAGACTCAACAAGCCTGGAACACCCTATTCCAACGGAGGTGACAGGCCTGGCCTCGAGCATGCAGCAACAAACTCATCCATTGGTTCCGTGGGAGTCACTCGGCTTGCTCCAACAAACTCTAACGAAGCCGAGGGCAAGATTCTGTACCCTTTCCGTATCAAGCATCTGGGCCATGAGGTGTATACTCTCTTTGCCTCGTCCGCGCAGGCACGACAGGAGTGGTGTGACAGGATCATTGAAGCCAAAACCCGTCATGCCAAGGCACTCCATGCACAAAATGCCGAGCCATTCCGTTTGCGTGTCGTTGCTGACAGCGCGTTTGGCTATGACTCGATTGCTGGCATGGGTAAGTATGTCAGTGGCGTCCATATTCGCGGCACACCTCTTGATCGGGCTATCCGCGATCTTGAAAAGACGTTTGGACCAGGGCGCGGGCCACCGCCCGTGTCGCGTGCATCTGTGAATTGTGCAACAGGATTCTCGGCTTATGGAAAGAATATGATCGCGGTCGGCACCGACGCTGGTGTTTGTGTGGCTGACGCCAGTGACCAGCGAGGCTGGGCAAAGGTAGGTTTTTCTTGTCCCTTCCAACACGAGCCAGAATCATGGTATACTAATCATGAGGCAGACAATTTCTATTGCGCGCGTCACGCAGATAGCAGTACTGGAAGAGTTTTCTGTTGTCCTCGTCTTGTCAGACAGGAATCTGATTTCATACCCACTCGATGTCCTTGCTCCGTCATCAAACTTCCCGGCTCCGCCAAACGACAATGTGCGCCGGTCGCCACAGAGACTTGCAAAAGACGTCTCATTCTTTGCGACAGCTCGTATGAAGGAACGCATGCTAGTCTTTTACAGAAAGAAAGAAGGTATGCACAGCACATTCAAGGTCCTGGAGCCCGTGTTCCAAAAGTCGACGGAAAGAAAGACGCGCTTCTTCAAGACCGGGAAGGGTTCTGGGTCCACCGAGACTTTCCGCGACTTTGACGACTTTTACCTGCCAACAGAATGCTACTCGATCAACCTCTTCAACATGTACATTGCGATTGCAACCGCGAGGGGCTTTGAACTCATGACGCTGGACAAGAAGATTCCAATGAGTATTCCTGATGTGAAGCAGCCTGCCATTGCCAATATTGCGAGCCGCATCAGAGACCAGAAACCCCTGGGCATGTTCCGCCTCAATACCCAAGAGTTCCTGCTCGCGTACGAGGACTGTGCGGTCTATATCGACAAGCACAGCGATGTCAGCCGTTCCGTCATCATGGAATACAGTGGAAAGTTGAAAAAGGCCAAGGGTGCGACGATGTATGGTCAGTACCTTTTACTGTTCAACGAGGACTATGTGGAAGTTCGCAATGCCGAAAACGGGCGTTTGAGGCAGATCATCGCTGGACGAGACGTGAGAGTGCTTGATTATGGTGTTAGAGGCCCAACAGGTGGCTTCTATCAGCAGGGCAATGGTTTTGACCCTCTAGCGAATGGAGGAGAGATAGGGGTGGCGTCCAAAGGCACAGTCAAGATTTGCATGGCACATCCCGAGGTGGCTGGACAGCAGATTGTGCTCGAAATGCTCCTTAATAATGGGCATTCAGAGAAAGCATGATCTCTACACCAAACCGACTGAAAGAGGATGGGGTTTGAACACTTAGAAGAACAGGGTCGGGGACGTGATGTACTGTTTGGTTAGAAGCAACACATGTACCTGCGTGTACTTTGTGGACGTGGTGTTTGGCGACATGGCAAGTCGCTGCTTTGTTCTTTGTTCTTTTTTTTCTTTCTTGAATATCCGGCCGTTACTGGCCAAATTGTTTACTCTATTTTTGAATTCACGATGGATGGCTCCACGAGACTCTTTACGAAGAAGTACCGGAAATCACGATAGGAATGGTTTAAGGAGTAATAGGGGAGTTTCCTTTCAAAGCATAGCTCGTCCATTGAGCACTGGCGATTCGCATTTGACTGTACAGGCAAATCCTGTAAGGATTCATTCTTTCCATGATCCATTGTATTCGTAACGTTCAATACACAGGTCCAACTTGTTACTGTTGGAAAATACTTTTGCTAGGATTCTTCAAGCTTGTGTTTAATAATGACCACACTTGATCAATTTCTGGACACATGTCAAAAGTACTCAATGTGTTTGAGCGTCTTGGACACGGCTCGCATCATGTTAAAACAGACGTAATTTGAATCGAGTACTTTGTGTTATGGAGCAGGGAAATAATCACTTTAAATCATTGCAAAGCTCTACTTCTAACCTATATCTATCTACCTTGTCCAGCTATGCATCCTGTGCAGTTGAGCTGTATATTCTCAGTTGTCTTTGCTGTAGTCGGGGTATCGTTTCATATAATCTTGACCTCCTGCATGCGTGTATCTGTCCTTCAGGGGCTCTGGATCGTGGTATACAACAGCCTGCCACCTTGGATGTGACTTGTTGACAGACATCCATGTAAAATGGTAGCGTCTTCTCCTTTCTCTAGGTTCTCTTCTATCAGTGCATTGATGGAAATCTACTCTGCTGTATCTTTCCGTCCGCCAAAAGGCCACAGCATACCCACCCTGGTCGCCAGCCACCGCGGCGCGCTCGCCACGGCCCTGGTGCCCCGCGAGAGGACGCCACCGGTATGCTTGACCACGTCCCCAATGGCGCCGACGGGATCCGACAGACTCTTGCGGGCCGTGACAAAGAAAAAGTTGAGGTCGCGGCCCATTTCGTTGACGGCCCAGGTGAGCGGGAAGCTGACCTTTTTGGGCGGCTGCCGGACCTCGGGGGCGGACCCGGGAAACGATGCCGGGCCCCGGGGCTTGCCGGCCGACACCAGGTCTCGCAGCGTGAGGTGCTCCTCCTCGTGACCGCGGTTGCGGACGCTTTCCTTGGTCAGCTTGGAGCGCAGGCGCTCCTGCTCCTCGGGCGGGTTGCCCTCCCACCACGTCTTGACCGTGTCAAACATGTACTGCTGAATCTTGGTCTTTTTGCTGGGAAACGCGGGGTGGTGCAAAATGGTTAGGATCTCGTCAATCGTCTTGTTGGCATCAATTTTGGGGTCGTCCCAGCACCTGACCACTTGCTGCACCGTCCAGTTGGTCGTGACGGTGGCGACGAGGCCGGATGGCTGGTTGAGCACGTTGCTGAAGTGGTCCTTGGACAGGTCCGAGTGACTTGGATCTGAAGCGTCTGACCCGTCCTCGTAGACGGCCGCCGAGGCTGCCTTTGCGGCTTCCGCATCAACTCGGTCCTTGGCTGCCTTGACGGCACCACGGAGCTCCTTGACAGAAGACTCGATCATGACGGCAAGAAAACGAAAAACGAGCTGATTGGTGTAGTCGCTTAGTTGACTGGCCTCCATATCAGATGTCGAGTCTTCTTTTTCTTCCGTGCCCTCCTGCAACCACTTGGACATGCGGTCGTGTAGGTAAAAGACGGGTTCAATTGTCTGCCACAAAAAATTTGGGTTGGTTACCCCGGCTGCATTGTCCTCGGAGTCCGAATCGGGCGGTGACACGGATGCCGAGGCCTTTTTGAAAATGGTTGCCACAGTGTTGAGTTCGTCTTGCAGAGGGATCTTTTCGGGCGACACCTTGTTGATAGCCTCGATGCCCTTTTTGATGAGTTCAAACAGCTGCTCGAAAGCTGGTCCGCCGAATCCCAGCTTATCCTCGAGTGAGCCCAGTGTTCCCCTCGACTGCAAAATCGCCATGTCGTCGGCCTCTCCAAGCAAGCTGTGGAAAATGTCCAGCATGCCAAACGTGCCAGTCACAATGGGCGGGACCTTTTTGCCCCGGAGACCCGGTGTCTTGACGAAGCAGGCATCCCCGACAAAGGGAAAGACATTGTCTTCCCCGAGCTCGCGCAAGCAGAGCTCGGTGTAGTTGCTGTGCGCAGAAAAGTCCTCGAGCGTGTGCAAGGCGGCACCGAGGTGAATGAGGGATTCCTTCTTGGCGCCCGAAGACCTCTTCCTCCGGCCCTCTCGGCCGAGCGCAATACACTTTTCCAGCTGCTCCCGTACATAGTCGGCCGAGGTTCTCCAGCCGTGCCCGCTGTTGGCAATGTAATTTTTCATGCCCGTGTCTGGGTCGAACTCGAGCTCCTCGGGCTGCACGGGGCCCCGCAGGCGCTTGTCAATGTCTTGGGCATTGTCCGCGTAGCCCTGGGGGTTATCAATGTGCTCGACGTGGGTATAACAACCCAGCCGCTCTCTTGTCACGTCAAACTCGTCGGTGGCGAATCCAAACTCCATAAAGGCCAAGACGGAAACAATGGCGCGCAGAATGGGCTCGGGTATGTTCTCCAGGCAGGTGGTGTCAATGACCTGGGAGAAATCGCGCAGCCAGTTGCCAAAGTAGATTTGCTTGCGCTGGAGCTGGGTGAAGCGGTAGTGCGTCAGAAACGACGCCGGTAAGAACTTGAGCACCTCGGTGATGTCGCCATGTCGCCAGACGTAGCCCTTGAAGTCGCTGCTGGGCGGTACCTCGCCTGCGCCAAAAGCAGCGGCGGGCGTGGCCAGCACCAGGATGGCGACGAACAAGACGAGGAACAGCGTCCTTGAGGAAGACATTTTTGTTGCCCCGGATCTGCTTGTTATGCGCCCGACCGTTTCTAACAGACAAGGTAGAAGAAATATTGACCAAACATAAAGTTTGAGTAAAAGGCAAGAAAACTCTCGATGTTGGGCTTTTCTTGACTCGACAAACGGATGTTGGAGCTTTCACTCCGGCGCAAACAGGGTTCCACTTTGGTGGTACCTCGCCTACTTTAATGCACTTTGACCACGCCGGATCTACTCTGTATGCACGTCGTGAACGCGATCAGAGGACAAGAAAAATCAAAGTCAAATAAAAGTTCAGGAAATGCATCTTGTGATTTGTTTTCACCAAGTGTCCATCATGTTGCTGCCTCGTGATTTATTGCTGACACGGGGACATTTGTTTTGGATTTCAGCTTACGTAGGTACCTGGTACTGTACCTGACCAGTGTTTGCCTAGGTGAGCTGCAGCCCGATCCAACATCGAATGTCCGGGTCTGCGCAGATGAATGACGTAATTCATCCAAGGACAAAAAGTCAATTCACAAAAAAACGCGCCCGGAGCCTCGGGAATCAAGAATCTGCTACTAACTCGGCCGGTGAAAAAAAGCATGTGGATAACAAACAGCCTTTTCTGATTTTGTAAAAGCTACTCTAGCCAGGTACCATACGTACCGTGTGTTTGTTGTTCATGACCTTTGGGTCTCCTACTACAGATTTTTTTGTCAAGGCTTGCAAAGTGATCAACATGCCCAGATCTCGCTATACTAAAGGCCAATCATGTGCCCCATTGGCTCTAGAACATTGAGATGGCGCGAGATGCCCTCCCTAATTAGCGTCTCTTCTTTTTCATACATAAATGAGGGACAAACTTCAGCCAGCAACGTGCAGTCCATGTTGAACAAGGTTATCATTCTGCCCTAGGTGCCATCAACCCGCGATTAAAAGGACCCCCAACATTCTGTAGCCGGATACCACCTGCAGCTGCGATGCAAGGCCGTTTTGCACGAGAGTCGATAACATGACTTGGAATTTGCATAAATTAAATGTCCTACGGCTCTTCCCATGCCGTTGCGGGACGGACATTTGCATGGTGTTCGGATAACGCTGTAGGGCCACAAGGCAAGTACCTATCTGTGAATAAGGTATAATAAATGTAGCGGTACGTTCACTGATCCCCGTGTGTATGTAGTTTGAACTCATAAAAACCCATGGACACCCTTTCTTCTATAAAATGACTTGTCCCAGGGGAAGTATCAACTAAATATCTAAATTCAATTGAATTCTTTCCCTTTTTTCTCCCCTCTGCTTCATACCTCTTTAATCACACTCTCGTAGATTGGCCTCAAGCGTGGCCCCATGTCCCTTTGCATAATCATCAATAATAAAGCCACGACAAGGCTAATTCTCAAGTGCTGACACATGCACGAACTTGCGACAGGACGCCCGTGTGAAAGATAAAGTGTCTATGACAGTCTTGAGCAAAAGAGGTCTTGAAGGATATTGCAACGCTAGACCCATCCGACTGGTCATGACCAGCTTTCCACGTGTACTGTCACACACATGTGCTATCCATCAATGTAGCATTAGTTTCATATCTATAGCGAGTAAAAGTCTGGAATTACTTCTTTCCCCCTTTCTACGTGGCTTCCCTGCAGACTGCCGGCAGTGCCACGATTGTCCAGATCAACAGACGGCCGAACAGCCGTCCACTAAAGAAGCACTTGGACGAACCCCACCAACGGTACTAGGATATGGAACTAAAACCCCGTATTTGAGCTCGTGTTTATTTATACGCAAGAGAATCATTGGCCAAGAGCCGTCTCCTGGCGGGTATTCGTCTGACAACCGAATAGACTTTACAAGTACACGCGACGGTCCCAAGAGCCACTTGTTGGCCCCGACGTCCAACTTACGAGTTTGGATGGAGCTGGACAGGCTGGACAAGCTGGGGTTTATGGGCTGAGCTCACTTCCTGGTACGAAGAGAAAAAAGTACGAAGGTTATTATTCACTTCTTGCCCCGGTGCTTGTGTCTCAGGAGAAAAAGGGCCGCCATGCCACCTCGAATTGTAACTTCTAATCTATTCCTTTTCTTCTCCTTCTCTATTGTATGATACTCGATCGTTAAAAACTTGGGCCAACCAAATCATTCACTATAAAACTTTCGTTTGAAGGCACTCACAAACCATAACCATCATGTCGACCACCACTACATCTGCCTCGGCCTCGGCGACCTGCGGCGCCCGCCTATACGACATCCCCGTCCAAGACGCCGCGTGCGCCCTCCCCTACGGCGGCAACCACACCGACATCATGTCGGCCTGCTGCAAATCGGCCGACGTCATCTCCTACTACGGCGACTGCGGCGTCTACTGCCTGGCCCTGGACCAGAGCGTCGCCGACCTGACGAGCTGCCTGTTTGACCAGGGCGCCGCCGACCAGGACGTCTTTTGCCGCGGCAACACGACGGCCACGGCCACGGGCTCGGGCGACTCGGTCCCCACCAGCGCGAGCGCCAGCGTTGTTGCCAGCGCCACTGGCGATAGCAGCAGCGGGTCCGGCACCTCGACTGGCTCCGGCAGTGCCTCTGAAACCTCCAAGAGTGCTGCTGCCCCTCGATCGCAGGCTGCCGTCGGCGTCACCACTCTCGGTCTCACAATTGGTGCTCTGCTCTTTTCGGCCACGACCCTTGGTGCCTTTGCCTTGTAAAAAAGGAATAGTTGGCGGTGTTTGGAACAAATTAAGAAAGAGATACCCTAGACATGTTTGAGAGCTTACTCACATGTTATAATATTGAGGCTCGAGGATCGTTTACCTTGTATATTTGTGGAGGAACGAGTTACATAATCATGGCCGTTGAGCCGATTGCAGATTGGCATTATTGAGTTGTTATGTAATGCAAAGAAAGACAAAAGTCGTGCCAATGGCATTCTCTAGTATGGTGCTTGTACATGATATCGCATCAGGAGACATGGTAGAATAGGTGCCGGTTCAAGAGCATTTGATTGCATTTCTACTATACAATTGAAAACAATTCGACAAAATATAATTGCAGCCATGACTTGGTTGACCTTTCCCCTTTACCATCTTGACTCGGGATTCATTAAATTAAATGCATTCGTTATTCCAGGTATCAGAAATTAAGAGACAGCAACTCTACTTATATAACATGATCAAAGTCGTAGCCAAGACTTTATCTGTACTACCGATGCGGCTCGTGGCTAGGGGGGTGGGGCACGGCACTTAAAGCCAGCCAGCCCCTCTTGGGGAAATCGTGAAGCTTCCAATCTTGGTAAGTTGCATCGGCCGATACAGGCGCGCGATGGGACATTGGAGATCCGATAGATATCCCAAAGGGAACGTAACAGATAATGATGCGCACGATAACTTTTGTTCCAATCTTAACGATACCCATATCTTTTCATAATAGAGGTCGGGGTTTGATGACTTGAATTTCACAAGCACTGAAAAATACGAGGTCATCAGACGTCTAATTTACACAAGATGGCCATTGCACGGAATCTCCTACTCTTGATTTCGGCGCTCTCATCATCATCGGTGACGAGCGCCGCATCGTCGTCATCGGGTCTGCCCTTTGTGATCAACACGTGGGGAGGACCCTTTACAGCCGCCACCGACGCGGCGTACCTCGCGCTGGTCAACGGCACGGCCGCGACGGCCCTCGACGCCGTCGAGGTCGGCTGCACCACGTGCGAGGCCAACCAGTGCGACGGCAGCGTGGGCTACGGCGGGTCCCCCGACGAGAGCTGCGAGACGACGCTGGACGCGCTCATCATGGACGGCGCCACGTTTGCCGCGGGCGCCGTGGCCAACCTGCGCCGGGTCCGCAGCGCCGTGGGCGTCGCCCGCGCCGTCATGGAGCACACGGCGCACACTTTGCTGGCCGGCGACCAGGCCACGGCGTTTGCGGTGCAGAACGGCTTCGTCGAGGAGGACATTTCGACCCCCGACTCGCGCGCCGCCTGCGCCGAGTGGCGGGCCGCCGCGTGCCAGCCCAACTACCGCGTGGCCGTGTCGCCCGACGCGTCCGTGTCGTGTGGACCGTATACGCCGCTGCAAGTGGACAACACCACCAGCGCCCAGACCCAGGCGTCCCACGATACCATTTCCATGATTGCCATTGACGCCTCGGGGGCCATGGCGGCGGCCACGTCGACCAACGGCGCGTCGCACAAGGTTCCCGGCCGCGTGGGCGACGGACCCATCGTCGGTAGCGGCTCGTACGTCGATGGCGAGGTCGGTGGCTGTGGTGCCACGGGCGATGGAGATATCATGATGCGGTTCCTGCCGTGCTACCAAGCGGTCGAGAGTTTGCGACGGTATGTACCCTACTGATCTTTTGTTCTTGTGATTTGTCGAACCGATAGTCTCGAGAGATGCCGTGAACTCTCATGAAAATATCCTTCAGATTTCAACACCAGGCCAAGAAAATCTACAAGTGCTAACGGTTTTCATGCAGCGGACTCACACCTCAAGAAGCCGCCGACGACGCCGTCGCTCGCATGGTCCGCAAGTTTCCGACCATTTCCAGCGGCATCGTCGTGGTCGACAACCAAGGGCGTCACGGCGGCGCGGGCTCGGGCTGGACCTTTACGTATGCGTACCGCGGCGGCGTCATGAACGAGACGGTCGTGGTCTCGGTGCCGCCGATTGATACGGCGGACTCTAGTCTCGCGTATAGGGGACAGATTCAGCTTTAGAGAAAATGTCTACGCGGAATGTGATTGTAAAGTCATGATGAATGCATCTCACGTCTTAACCAGAATACATGCTGTGACTCAAAAGTCTTGGTGATTGACCCTACATGCATATGGCTGTTCTATATGATTGGACTAGGCAAATGACCTTCTACCGGGTAGAGTTGATTTGGTTAGTATTTTAACCACAAAGGAAATCGTGACTATTCAATAGATTCATGGATGGCGTACAGGAGCGATGGCTATGCTGGTGAACCATTGCAAAGGGGTAACTTTGGTGTCAATAGTAGACTTTACGCTCTAATGCGCTGCTTATTTGTAGACACTGATTAATTTATAAAGTTATCACTTGGAAACTTAAGAAGAAGCAAGATTTTGAAAAAGCTCTTTGGCTATATATATTGTCCTTTGGGTATATTAAGTATTACAATTTCTCCTCTTTTTGTTTCCAGGCCTATGTATGTTTTTTTCTCGGGACTGTTTGGCTAAACCCAGTCCCTTCCTCTGCTTTTCTTTTCTCTTCTATTGAGATGGAAAATAAGAAACAAAAAATGCTGTCGAGTTCCTGTGAGAGAGAGACTCCTTGGTATAATGTAGCGCTATTGGGTCGCCCAAGACCTATGCCCACCAGATAAATAATGCGTTCGTAAGGATCGTAAGAATGATACAGTTGAATGTTCCCTTAAATGCAATGCGAGGGATGAAAAACAGATTGGAATTTCAAAGTCCCAAAGCTGCTTTACAGAGCAAAGGCCAGAGCGACAAAACCCAGGAAGCCGAGGCCGGAGCCAATGTGAGTGGCGCCGGCAGTGGCGATGGGGGCAGTGGTGGCCGAGGCAGTCTTGCTGGTCGAGTAGGCACCAGTGCCGGTGGGCTGGGCAGTGATGAGAGTGCTGCCGATGCCAGTACCGGTAGGGTAGGGAGCAGTAGCACCAGTCTTGGTGGCAGTGGCAGCAGCGGTAGTAGGGACAACAGCAGAGTCTGGGAGCAATGTTAGCAAATGGCATGCAGAGGGCGGAATAGATGCAAGACTTACAAGTGCCGGGCACAACACCGACGTCAGTGGCACCAGCGCTAGCGGTGGTGAGGACGACCTGGGGAACGGTGACGGCAGTGCTGATGACAACAGTCGAGCTGGAGCTGGCAATGGTCGAGATGGTCGAGCCAAGGTCAGTGGTGCAAGGAACGACGGTGGTAACATCAACGACAATGGTGGTGTAGACAGCCGAGGCAGGGACGGTGGCGGTGGCGGTCAGGTAGGTGGTGATGGTCTCGGCACCAGTGGCAATGCCAGGGTTCTGGCCAACGTAGGCACCGCAGATACCCTGGAAGTAGGAGACAGCCTCGGAGACAACCTCATCGCTCTCACCGTGGGCGTACAGGCAGCTGAAGACGTTCTCGACAAAGGCAGCATCGGGGCAGTAGCAGCTGGCGTCGGAGTTGTCCTTGCAGCCAACGCTGAACATCCAGGTGTTCAGGCAAGAAGGAACAACATCGGGGCAAGGCAGGGTCTCGACGGGGACGGCAGGAGAAGTGCCAGAGGAGACGGCAACGGTGGAAGAAGTGGCAACCACGGAGCTGGGCTGAGTGACAGCAGCGTTGGAGGAAGACTCAACAGCGGAGCCGGGCTGGGTAGCAACGGGCTGGCTGGAAGTCAGAGTCAGAGTCTCAGTGACCGGGCAGACGGTGGTGGTGACAGGGACAATGGCAGTGGTAAGGACAGTCGAGTGAGCCGGGCAGTTGGTGACAGTCTCGGCGCAAGAGGTGACGGTGGAGACGACAGTGGTCAGGACAGTCGAAGTGGTCAGGTACGAAGTGACCGAGGTGAAGGTGGTGACTTCAGTGGCCGAAGTGGTGGGAACAGTCACGGAGTAGGTGGCCTCGTTGGAAGAAGCAGTAGTCTCAACCTTGGAGGAGGTGGTCTCGACGGCAGAGGAAGTAGTCTCGACGGCGGAGGAGGTGGTCTCAACTGCGGAGGAAGTAGTCTCGACCTTGGAAGTGGTCTCAACCTTGGAAGAAGTGGTCTCGACCTTGGATGAGGTGGTCTCCTGCTGGTAGGTAGAGGCAGTGGACGAAGACTCGGCAACGTTGCTGCTGGTAGTCTTGGCAGAGCTGCTGCTGCTTGGGACCGTGGCAGGGTAAGAAGAGGATCCAGGGGTCTGGACGGGAATGGTCACAGAGTAGGTCGAGGAGCCAGGAGCCGACGAAGGCTTGGAGGCCGAGTAGGTGCTGACGGTCTCGGAGTGGCTCTTGGTGGTGGTGGTCTCAACCTTGCTGGTCGAGGTGGTGGCGTGAGTGCTGTAAGTCTTGGTGCTGCTGGCGCTGCCACAGCTGAAGGAGATGGAGGGAACGGCGAAAGAGCAGGTAGGCTTGGGCTTGCTGGGCTGCGAAGGGTAGACAATGGTGACGTTCTTGGCACCACCGCACTGGGTGTTCTTGACAATGCTACCAGACGAGGAGCAGGCAGATCGGTGCTTGCAAGTCGAGCCGTCGGGCATGTCGTAGTGGAACTCTAGGTCACAGTCGAACTCGGGGTAGACGTGGAACTCGCCGACACTGGTCTTGTCGACACCGGAGGAGGCATCGCAACCGAAAGAGGGCGAGGAGCCCTTGGAGCTCGAGGCGCTTCCGGAAATGCACTTGCTGGAGACCTTGGTGCGGGCACCGAGCTCGTCACGCTTGTTGAAGCCAGACTGGCAAGTGAAACCAGACCAGGTGAAACCACCATAGCTGCCAACTACACCATCAACGAGGTCGGAGAAGTCGAGACCAGCAGCCTGCTTGTCGGTACACTGATTGTCGGTGTTGCCGGGGCAAGAGAAGGAGGGAGCACCAATGAACTATATATGATGTTAGTATACTGAGCAGCATATAGATTGTTTATCTAGAGTTTGACTTACGGTGGCCGAGACCTGGCTGAGGCCAGCAGCAGCCAGGGCCAATGCCAGAGTGTTCTTCATGTTGGAATTATGGAGTTGTTTGTAGTACAGACTATAGTGAGTGTAGGTTTGACGATAGAAAGAAAGATTGTCGGTTTAACAAGGAGAATTGGTTGATTTTGGAAACAGGTAAAGCGAATGACCCTGATTTCCGAAGAAGAAAAAAGAATAGTTTACTGGTAATACCCAAAGGAAACGAAAGGCTTGGAGAGAAGGACCAGAAGCAGAACCAAGACGAGGAGGCTCAATGAAGCATATATACTTCCTGCCGACTGTACGATCTCGTAGCCGGGGAGGCTGTCGACCTAGTCGTCAGGTCGGTGACCTTGCCCCCCCATGAGGTTGCATTGACAGAGACTACCAGCACTAGGTACCTACGGTAGGTATCTAGGTAGCTGAGCCTTGTCCAGGATTGGTCATGTCCTCCATAGACCCATGCTGGCCTCTGCCCTCGGTTCGTCTCTTCGTCCCAATTCGAGTGGGCTTGGACGAACAGACTTGGGGAACCGGCGTTACGGCAACTTGCCAGTAGGAGGTCGAGGCCAGGGAAGAGATGGCTGAATCCGGCAAGCCTTGGGCTCCACGAGGCGTGCCAGGGGCACCTAAGCAGTCGAGGACCCGCTATATTGAGCCGGTCGAGCGCGCGGCTGCCGGGGGGCGTCTATGGTATGGAGCAGGGATACCCGGATAGTCGCAAGGGTAGCAGCACCAGCACAGATCCACCTCTGATGGACGGACAGCAGTAAAGGAACCGAGTCTTTACAACCAGTCAAGGCCGGGCCAGCGAGGCCTCGATGGGCAGACCACCGCCAATGGAAAGAAAATGCTTTGGCCTCTCTGCATTAGACCATGCTCGCGAGATGCAGAACGAATTTCCACCTGAGATCCGTTTGCTCAGGTTATTAGGAGCAATTGACACGGGACCGAAAAAACAGAGTGACATTGCATGCTATTGTTGGCTTTTTCTCGTCCACTAGAAATGAGACAGAAATAACACATACCGTGAAAACCTGACGAGAAGGATTGGCGATCGCAGGACCTGAGAAAACGCCAATTGAGTAAGTATTCTTTGTTTCCATGAGGAGCTTGTCATCAATCACCGAGTCAATCTGTGTAAACTGCCGTGGTCTCTTCTTGCGGCCTGATCGTTGAAGAAAAAAAGCAAAGGCCTCCACCCTATCGAGCCCTCCCTTTCCTTCTGGGGGGCTTCTTGAAACACGCATAGCCACTGATGGGTGGTGGTGGCACTTTCTGAGCTAATGCAGGTACGGTGATGCCCCCTCAAAATTGCATTTAACGTTGTTGTAGTGTAATAGTGGTAAATGGGCCAAAACGTCAGTGCTCAAGGATTGAGGATTTTGCTTCCTCAGAGACTTGCTGTACCTGAGATGGCTTGGATCGACCAATTCGCAGTCATCACAAGGAGCTGTCACTCATCTTGGTTCAAATGATACTGTGTAGTAGGTAGACTTCTAGGGGTTCTACTCCTCCTCCCGTTCAAATTCCTTCAGCCACGAGATCCTAGCCGGAGATCTTTGACTCCGGAGGGGGGATCTCTCATAACGCCTCCCCCATGGAGCTTTTACAACTTTGGACTGACCTGCGGATCCGAGTTCCGCTGCAAAATGAACGCTCATAAAGTTGTGTAGGTAGGCCATCATGTTACTTACTACCGTTACCTGAAATCGGTAGCAAGCTAAAGTCAATAGCTCTAGCACGTACACTTTTGTGGTATTGGCCCATGGCATGGAATGATTTCATGAAAGCAGAGCAGCAGTGCAGTCAGTGTAGGCGCTGTTGCACTCTACCAACAGGGGGGGGAGAGCCAATTCTCGCGCGCTAAGGCCTAAAAGACGAAGGATGCCAAGGAGCCAAAAGGCATCGACTCACCGTCAACAGAACATCGGTGTTACTGTTCCTGGCCCAGACTTTCTCCACAACAGGACCCGCGATGGGTCGATCCGGTCGATGACCCGAAGAGGAGAAAAAAAGAAGAGATGGTCCAGACAAAGACCAGGGGACCCTCCGATAGTAGCAGTGGTCATTTGTGTGCAAAGAGACCATCTACCCACGGAAGAGATTATCATGTCAATGTCAATACATTTTGACGGTGGGATTCACTCGCAACTGTCCAAATGTAAGATGAATTGTCATTTCGGCGCTTCATGAGCGGCAGTCAAGCTGGTCAGGTAGGCAGGCAGGCAGGCAGGCAGGCAAGCAAGCAATCCCAGATTAGCCTACAAGCGCGCTGTATCCCGTAGGCCATGTATAATTCAATATTCGGATTATTTTTAAGCTATGACGGCGGCTCCTGCGTTGATTGGCCCATCTACATCTGTGTAGAGCCTTGCTTTTTTAACGCCCACCTACCACCCTACCTCCAAGACTCTCCAACCGCGGACGTCTTTCCTCTTCCCCCCCTTTTGGCTACTCGGGCGCCAGCAAAAAAAGACTCGATATGCAGACCCTGTCTCCTTGGCGCTTCAGCGTGTTTCAGTCCTCAGCCATTCACATCTACAACCATCCTAGATTCGTTTCAAGTTTCTTTCTTTCTCCTGTCAGCTCTGGCTGCTGCGCCTTCTTTGGGGTACCGGGGGTATGCATTGAAAAAGGCCAGCACAGAAAAGTGTACACACATGATGCGGTGTGTTTGTCTGTGTAGTTTTTGACGGGTTCACTAATCCTAACGACAAGCTTAATTGTAGCTCTATTCTAGCGCTGGGATAACTGCCCCAAATCATCAGACGACAGCCCGCAAAAAAAAAGCTGCGGCACCACCGGAGTAAGGTAGATATCCTCCTATACGTAGCTCGAGGCATCCAGTCGCCCATTCGTGCGGAGTTTTAATTGCATGCTTCTTCCGCATCTGCCCACACTTGGTGCATGTACCCAAGGCCCTCAACTCACTGTCAATTAACCCGAGTTGCTCGTATATGATCGGCAAGACTATCACGGAGAATATGAACTTAGCTCGCAACTTCGGAGAAAGACATTGGCGTGCACTACTATCCAAGACTCTATTTTGAGGTGAATGATCTGCCATGTCTGGGCGACCAAGACACTTGTCTACCCAAGGGGACGGATCTACCAGTGTGTCGGATGATTCTTTTCTTTTTAATCCAACTTTTTTTTTTGTCTTGGGTGCTCAGACATGAAGCCATCGCTGTTGGGTATCCCTTTGGGACGGCGCCAACACGGACCCCCGGACGCCCTCCCCTAAAAATGACAGCCGCCACAGCGCCTGGAGTCACTGCGCTCCAATCTCCTACGCGCGAGCTATACGGGCGCCGTCGCCCATGACAATATCGTCATAGGACGCAATTAGAACAAGCCAGACGAGACGGTGAGTGTACACCCACAGTAGGTAGCTGGCGGCAGTTTAGTGACTTCTAGCCAGTTTCTTCCACTTTTAACCTATAATTTAGATTGCGGACTAGAATGGGCCCATCTCTACTACATTAGATCCGACGCTTACTTACCAGGTGTGCGGTTCACCGTTCCTGACTAAGGTAGTCCTGGAGACTCTGTTGCAGGTTTGCGCACCCCATTCATTCGTGGTGTGGCTCCTTGCCCGGAGAAGAGAGATTCGACTCGTATCTCGAGACGTTTGGATTTTGAGATCATCTTAATACAACATTCAATAATGTCGTGGCAGACTTTTCGACAGGATGCGTCGTAAGTGAGTCTGCAGGTCAACTATTACAAGCAACCACAAATCAAGGTAATTATAGCAGCAAGTCATGAAAACATTTCAACGATAATACCGGCATGATCCGAGCAAAATCAGATGGCGGCTGTGGGACTAACACATGATCATTGCTTTCACGAGCCTAGATCTAGGTTTACGGTGCACACAACCGTAGGAGTAGTAGTCAACTCCGGAATTTCCACTTATTCAATTAATATGCTAACCGACGCTCTGGTCAACTGATTTCCTGATCGATCAACCAAGTCCCCGTTCTGTCGTGTTTGATTCTATTAGCTGGGTCTACCGTTCACCTCAAGCCGGGTTCCCACGAGGCACTGGCACTGGAGTCAAAGAAGGGGGGGTCCCCGGCGAGACCCGCCCTCACTGTGCCATTGGCCCATGGGAATATCATCACACCCAGCAAAAATGTGCTTGAATACGGCAGTCTGTTCGTTCAGCACTGCCACGCATCAACTTCATGCAATATAGCAGAGCATCGTATTGCCATATTTCACCTCACCCGAGCCCCCTATTTTCACCATTGACCAATTGACCAATTGACCAGCAGCACTTGCTTGAATTGCTCAAGTATACAAGAAAAGCCAGACGTCGCTCTTCTTGTTTCTCATTGATCAACCTTATGCAATTTTCTGTTTACAGCCTCTTTGCATGACTTATGCGTTTCCTTTGGTGGTTCCCCGGCGCGCGGTGAGCCAGGTTTAAAGAAACATGACCCGTTGTGAAAATCGACAGTACATGGCTCACGTCACCATCTCTATATCTCCAGGTGCCAAGCTCGGCCTCGCATATCAATTCGTCTTTCTATCCGTGACAGGTCCCTATTCGCATGCCCTCCTGTCTGGATCTCTGGATCTCTTTGGCCCTTGGGTGCCTCATCTTTTTTCCTCTTCCCTTCGGAAGTTTTTTTGCCGTCATAATTTTTTCTCACTCTCACTCTGACCCCGTTATGGGCAACATGTGGTGGTATTTCAGGAAGACCTGGTTGGTTTTTCTCTCCCAAAAGGGGACCCCTGGAGCTCCTCCCCATCTCCACGTCGGGGGAATACATCGTAGAGGGGGTTGATCGTTGACAAGGATCCTTGGGTTTCAGGTGCTCGTGCGCGCTTCTGCAGGAACAGGACTTGGCCAGCCAGCCAGCCAAATCGAAGAAAAAAAGGCTCGGTTGTCGGGAACGGCATCGCTTTCTCGGTCTTTTTTTCTCACTTCTTCTTTGTCGCTTTCCGTTGGCTACACCGGAACGCCCCATGTTGAGTTTTCTTTCTACTTGTTATTCTTTGTGCCTTGGCAATGATGCATTCGGCAAATGGAACAACTTGAACCAGTTGTCCCTGTGATTTCTATGAAACTTGCTTCGCCTTCTTTGTGATAACACTCTGCCACCCTGGTTAGGGACCAAAACGTAATTGAAGAGTCCTGAGGGACATTGGTGGCCTGATGAGCATATTTTCTTATTCCCCCCATCGCCGTGCCGTCGAATTCTCCTTCTCGGCAGACGTTGCAAAACATTCGACATGCTGTCAGATCCCGCCATGTGCTTACTGCTAGAATTGAACAAAAGGACGGATTTGGGAACATTATGTATGCATGTCTTGCTCTAGTCCCGGATCCTCCTGCAATATTGTACATTTGGTGGAAAAAAGAAAGAACATGCAAATAGTAGTGGCGCGAATACTCCGAGACATCCGATCATTCATGCTCCTCTAGGGATATTTTCGTCCAAATAACAACGAGCAGAGTCATGGGAAGAGTTTTCAAAGCAAATGGATTTTCCATCTTGTTCCAAAGATCTAGATCAAAGGTATTAGCCACCAGCCTGCATCCTACGTAACCGTTCTTCAGCCGCCCGAGCTCTCCGTTCTCGATCCAATCGCATCCTCTGTTCCGGCGTGAGCCCTCTGGCCTCTTCCTCGCGCTTCTCCTGAGCCGTCTTGGGAAGACTGCTGCCCAGCGCCCCCTTGCGAGGCGTCTTGGACGGGATCTTGGGTCCCTCAGTCTTGAGACGTGCCTCTTCAGCTTTCCTGCGCTCAGCTTCCTTCTTCTCTTCTTCGTTTCGCTCCCGCTCGTCACGCTTCTCTGCCTCGGCGCGCTTCATGGGCGGTGCTACTTTGGCACTTTCCCAATCCCACTTGTCCTCGCCCAGTTCATCGCGTGCGACCCTAAAGGCATCCCTGGTCGACCGGTCTCCCGCAAGTTCAAAGGCTGTCTTGCCTTCCCGATTCTTGATGGTTGGATCTGCGGCTGCTTTTGTGAGCAGTCCCAGCACCAAAGGCCCCGAGTTTTGGCTCGCAGATAGATGAAGGCAGGTCGGGGCATGGTAGTTTTGTTGCGAATCCACCGGCTGAAACAGAAAGTCTGCCGCAACGTCGTTATTCTTGAGGTATGACAAGAGTGCTGGTAATTTCGACCTTCGTACAAATGCTTGCAACTGTGATGTGTGAAGCAGCGCCGTTTCTTCCTCCTCTGTCAACTTTGGCGCCGCCGGTTTGGCGGGTTTGGGCGTAGATGGCTTTGCTGGCGCCTCGGTCTGTGCCTTTTCTTGAACTGGATCGACTTCGCGAACCTTTAAGCGCGTGAGCTCGATAAACGAGCGCATAAGCTCATTCTGAGTCGCTCTCTTGGTACTGAATGGGAATCCTCGTATCCTCGGGTCGTTTGCACGCAGCACCTGTCCCTCATATGGCCCAAACAGGGTTCTCCTGTTGGTCGAACCTGTAGCCCTGATGAACAGCAGCTCAGAAGTGTCGAGCAACCCTTTCCAGTCCTGGAGCAGCTGCCGGACCTCGTCCACCAAAGCCTGCTCATTGTATCGACGAATACTTGAACCGGCCGAGTGCGCATTTCCTTTTGCATTATCGTTTGCTGATTGTGAACCACCTTGTTTCCTCCTCGTGGTGTATCTGTGGAATGTCTTGTGTGCTAGCACTGTTGCTTCCCTGTTCAGCGGTCCTGAAGTCGCGCCGTGTTTGGTCTGTCTAGGTGCAAGCGAGACGACCATAGCTGCAAAGTGGCCGCCTCCAATCATGCACAGGAAAATGTGTGGTCCCTTGTAGGCGGCTGGTGCAATACCACCATCGGCATTGGGTTTGGGTGCTGCAATCGGCTCAAGCTGTTTCTTCCTTATGACTTCGACCAGCTCTGTCTCCTTGTTTGCCTCTTCGGGTTGGAATATCGCGCGGTAGATTCCGAAAAATGTGTTGGCTGGCAGTACTGGCGAGCTGAACCACAACAATGGTGGCTTTCCGCTGCCCCTCTGCCTCCTCGTCGTAGACTCGTCATCATCGTTGCCGGCGTCACCGTTGCTATTTCTCTCTGCCAGGGTGGCTTGTTTCTTCAAAAGTGCTGTAAGAGTGCTCTCCTTCTTGTCATCATCGTCGTCTGACTCGGACGAGTCTGATCCCGACAAGCTCTCGTCGAGATCTCCCACGAGCTTTTCGAACTCGGTCTCGGTTACAGGTGGCCGACCGCGCAGCTTTTGTTTGAGGTTGTAGTGGTGCAAATCCGACTTTTGGTGCCCGCGCTGGTCGAGCACATTGTCAAAGGTGAGGCTGCACAGCGAGCAGGCCTGGGAGCCCACGGACAGGTTCTCGGACGAGGACGGCGAGGACAGGGGCAATGATTCGTCTGCTTTGGAAGATGGTATAGCCTCGGGAGCTGCGACTTCAGAGGTTGACGTGGCAAAGGTCAAGGTAGTCAAGACCTCGGGCGGCAGGTCGTAGACTGTTTGGGCGCATTCGCGGTTAGCGGGGTGGAATCAAGGGCGGGCAGGAGACGGATGCGAACGAACCATAGAGGGGCCGCTTGAGGAGGTCATCTCCTTGCTTCTTGTCCTTGTCCATGGCGACAGGCATTGCAAGGTCAAGCTCTCTTGGCCGTTGTCGTCGTCGTCGTCGTCGTGGTTGATCAAGGCAGAAATGACGCCAAGGAAATGTTTGCGCTAAACTGATGGTCGCAATGAGGTCACTGAAGCCGTACGTATTTACTGAACGAACCATGGAGGGGCAAGCTCTCTTTTATCGCCCTCTGATAAGACCCGCTCTTATAGCCGCAGTACAAACGACAAAATAAGACGAATGACTCAACCGGACAAGAAGAATATGAATAAGCATACTGCTGTAATTGTTTTGGTAGTTTTTAATTTCATCAGACAAGTAATTATACCCTTTAAATTGAAACGAAATTCGACACGCAAAGTCATTTACCTCGTATCACATAATTCTTGACATATGCAATTGAATATCCACAATCCGCCTTTTTGGTTCTGCTCTCGCAATGAGTCCTCAAGCTTGGGGATCGAAAATGTCCAGATGCATATGGAGGCAAGAAAAAAAGAAACAAAAAGACAAGACTTTTTCTACAATCTTTGTGCATCAACGTGATCTCATTATCTAGACAATGGCCGATTATCTTGTCTTGGACAACACTCAAGACAAGTGTTTTGATCTCCAGACCGTCATACTCTGCAAAACAAAGACTCTGTTTTCGCGACCTATAAATCAAACCCCATGCCTCGCATCTTGTCAAGTAATCTGTGGTATCCCAGCATTGTATATAATTAGCTGACCGGTTCAGCTTTCAAGTTTCGATTCTTGTACTCGTTTCTTGCCTGTTTCCCTTCCGGCCGCTCAACCTCTTGTCTTTGAGTACCTATTTTCGTATTGATATATACAGGCATCAGGATGGTTTGTCAGTGCGTCAAGAAGAGAGTCACCTACTCCTGCCTCCATCAGGAGTCGAAGCTCGAGAAATGCTGGCGTGACAATTGGAGACACGAGTTTCCATGCCTAGAGGTCTTGGTACCGCGCTGCGACTCGCCGGTCCAGTCCAAGCGCAAGAAGAGGTTCGGCTTCTGCCCCAAATGTGCGGCGCATTTTGGTCTGCCGGAGCGGCCTTCCCGTTATGACAAAAAATACGTCGAGAGGTATCTAGACTACAAAAAGGACATGCGACTGGCAGAGGAGAGGATCAAGGCAACGGATATACCCCTCAGTGCTGTGTTTGGCAAGGCACATGTCGAGCGTGAGCCTGGTGGACAACAAAGCCCGATGCGAGTGAGACGGAGTAGCAACCCTACACAGGCATCAAACAAGACCAGGACTGTTAATACCACTGGTAGACATGTCTCAAGTGAGGATAGTCCCCATACTCGTTTCTTGGTATCGAGAGCCGCTCCAAAAGTCTTGAGCGCCTTTTCCCTCCATGACGGCGAAAGTGAGGATGAGTCGGACGGCGAGGCCCACGAGTCTGACGCCGAGGTATATGAGTTAGAGTACATGTCAACAAGCCAGAATAGCACGCCACAAAACCGAGCAAGGACTTCCACTAACTACCCCAGCTATTCCATGGATGTGACGGATGCTGCAAGAGCATCTACACTGCTGAGTCTCTGCCACGACTCGGACTCGGATTCGGATGTAGTGACGACCGAATTCGACATTGAGCTCGACGAGTTCGAGTCCGTCGTCATACACCGGGCCGTGCCCAAACTGGAAATGCCCTCGAGGCCTCGCGGCAAAGGTAGAAAGTTCTACCAGAGCGGCCTGCGCTCTGTCCAATCGCCCAGCGGCTTCGCCACGCGCGTCAAGACGGCACGCAGCCACAGCCTGAGCATCCCGTGCCCGCCACCGCCCGTGGTCGGCAGGGTATTTACGGGCCGCTGCCGCGAGCACCAAGGCGTGCCTCCTCCTCTTACTCCCCGCGACGGCGGCTGCTGCTCGACGTGTGAGCGGGGCGGCGTCTACCTCGAGGCCGGCATCCCGACCGTGGAGGATGAGCTCCGCCGAAACGCGCGCTCGGCCCCGCCCATCTTGATTCGGTGCCAGGTGCCCGCGTCCCGGTTCGAGTGCGCCGTGCAGACGTGCTTTTGTGATCTCGTAAGTGACGACAAGTGTCTCACGTGCCGAGAGCGGGAGAAGCAGGCCGAGATTTTGGGAGCCGCTTTTTTCTAGGGTGAGTAGTAATCAGGACAATACTGAAAGTGATATATAGTACTAAATGGGAATTTTACCGAGTCTCAAAGGTAACACCTAATATCGGCCCTCGAAAAATGCTCTTGAGCATGTGGGATGCTGCTTCGTTATCTTACTGTGAACGTAGACCATACCATCTGGAATTTAGCGTCTAGAGCCTTCGGCCATTGTTGATTCACAGTTTCGTACCATGTGCAGTACTTATATATTAATCATAATTTCTCATACTTATCACAAGGCTATCTTTCTGCCATGTTCAAGGCCGTAATGCTTGGCTCCGTCAGTAAAGATCCAAGGACCTTGCCAAATGCCTAGTCTTCAAATCGTTGTGTACATGCCACCAACGCTCTGACAATCTGGATCGAATACTCATGGCGAGGCCCATGATGCACGATTCTTTCGAGCGAGGCAGTACTTTAATATGCCGGTCTGTTCATCCAGTCCTTGACCCTGTCCCCAAAACTATTGCTCATCCGTCGACTCGGCGCGTGGTCAACATGGCCAACCATGCCAGTGGACCCAGAGGATGGGGAACGGCCGACAATGGTGCGGTTCTTGTAGCCTTTTACATCGCAAGCAAATATTTTTCAGTACAGTATTCTCATCATGGACAAGATATCAGTCGGGAACATGACGTACTAGTAGAGTCTCGCCGGCCGGGATTGGAGATGATGGCGTCGTACTTTTCCTTTGCCGCTAGATATTGCTTTGACATTTTGGCTGATGTTTCCTACTTTCTGTGGTTGTATGCTGAATTGTCCATACAAAAATAATAGAAGAAATCGAAGGAACCAGAAACGTGCTGATATTAGCGTATTCAAGCTCTTATATGTGCTGGCATGGGGAGATTAAGGTTGTACAAGAGTTGGAGTCACCCCTCAATATGATATCAGACAACCGCTTAGGGGCTCTTGCTGAGGAAGGTTATTGGTAGATTTGATTACTGGCACGCAAGCTCATTGGATGCTCCGCACAAAACAATGAATTGGGTGCAACTCTAATGGGAGCTTCGCGAGACGGATTGGCTGGTTTGAATAAAGGTGTTGTCGGGTCATGAGACGTGGAGGGAGCTTGTGCTCAAGGCAGACAAGTCCAAATGGACAATTGCCTGGTCCGTGTATGTATAGTGTTTTGCAACGTCCACTGCATTGAAATCGTACTATTTCATCCTCGGCAGTTGGCTGCAAATCAGAAAGCATGATATCGAAACTTTGATTCTACTTTATCTTTAAATATATCTCTGATACAACAAGACTCTATACAAAACGTTGGTCTAGGTCAAGCAAGAGCCCTTCGAGGGCAAGAAGACAAAAACAAATTCCTGGAACTCCGCGGCACCTCTACAACAAAGATCGCTCGCTTGCAAAGGAGGAAACAAGAAAATGCCATACTACCAAGCAAACTTGGCAACAGTTCCGTTAGGATACTTGCGGACCAGGTACTTGCGACCCTCATCAAACAACAAAATAAACATGCCAAAGGCAAATGGCAAAAAGTAGTGCTCGACGGGCACCTCGGTAGTGCCGAGAACGGCCTGAAAGACGGGCACGTAGAGCCAAAAGATGGCCATGAGCAGGGCAAAGATGATGGCCGGGAACAGCCAGAGATTCTGCGTTAGCTTGTTGAAGGCCGGGGGGTGTTGGAAGATGCTCCAGCGGCGGGTACGGATAGCCATGAGGTTAAACCATTGCCTAATTTCCAAGAAATTGATTAGTATACAGAAGGGGTGAGTAAAGGAGACGCTGAGTAATATTGCGACTTACATGACAACCAGGTTGATGAAATACACCGAAGAGGCTTCATTGAGCTTCTGGGTGTAGTAGGCGGAATCGACACCATCCGGCACTGCGCCGAAACCGAACCAAAGGGTGCCAAAGGGGATGCCGCTGCGCTCGAGGTACCAGTAGGCCATGGCAAAGGAAGCGACCGTCTCCAAGACACCGAGGACACCGTATGCGTGAAGGATGAGCTGCCAGTCGACCAGGCGATCCTTCTTGACATCTCGGGGCTTGCGGAGGAGGACATCGGCTTCGGGCTTTTCGTACGACAAGGCAGTGGCGGCAGCGCAGTCGGTGAAACAGCTATCAATGTGTCAGTCTACGTTTCGCCATAATGTTTGTGGAGTGGGAATAGTGTGAGGACATACCAGATGATAATCATGAGGAAAGATGACAGGATCTGCGGCAGACCAAAGCAGACATTGGTCATGACGGGCCAGAACTCGGCAAACGAACCAGCGGGGAGCAAGTAGCAAATGACCTTCTTGAGGTTGTCAAAGACGACACGACCATACTGAACAGCCTCGACGACCGAGGCAAACGAGTCGAGGAGAACCATGTCGGCAGCTTCAATGGCAATGTCGGAACCGCTGCCCATGGCGATACCAACGTCGGCGGCCTTGAGCGAGGGGGCGTCATTGACACCGTCACCCGTCATGGCGACGACGCCACTGTTTTGGAACTCCTTGACGATGCGCAGCTTCTGCTCGGGCGTGGTGCGCGCAAAGACGACCTCTTCGTACTGTGTCAGAATCTTCCACTGGTGCGCGCTCATGCCCATCAGATCTGGGCCGCTGAGGACAATGGACTGGCGAGAGACCATGGATTTTTCATCGTCCGCGACCTCCTCACGAGGTAGGTTCTCCAGGCCGTGGACTGCCGGGGTGGGAAGCGTGACAATACCGGCATCTTGTGCAATGGCGAGAGCAGTGAGGGCAAAGTCACCAGTAACCTAAATACGTCAGCATTTTCATATTGTATCACCCCGTTGGCATGACTACTCACCATGAAGAAGCGGATACCAGCACCACGGAGAGTCGAGACGACCGATTTGATCTCGGGGCGAAGGGGATCGACAATGGCGACGAGACCAACAAGCGTAAGACCAGTCTTGGCCTGCTCGGCCATCTCGTCTTCAAACTGGGTAGTGCCGGCCTGGTTTCTGACGTCTGCGCGACGAATGGTCTTGCGGGCGAGGAGGATGCATCGCTTTCCCTGACTGCTGTAGATGTTCTTGACGCCCTCGATGGTGGCTCGCATGTCGGCGTCAAAGGGCTGAGCTTCTCCGGAGCTGGTAATGTAGTAGGAGCAGCGACCGACGAGAACATCAGGGGCACCCTTGATTGTGAGTAGACTGGGGAAAAAAGGTCAGCGTTGGCACGGCACCTATGGGCAAGGGGAGGTGTATAGCAGGATGTGACTTACGTATCGCCTTGCTTGAAGATTTCGGCTTCGGATTGAGGTAGAGTTGCGGCGAGACAGTCATTCTTGAAGAGAGAAAAGGCCCGGATCATGTACTTGTTCTTGGAGTTGAAGGCGAGGTCAAAGGTCTTTTGCCAGCACTGGCGCATGTGACTGACGGAGCCGAGCTTCTCAGAGAATCGCAGAATGGCCTGATCAGTTGCATCACCATAGACGCGTCTCTGCTCAATGGGCAAGTTGTTGGTGGCAGCATCAAATTCAGCGGCATTACACAAGGCGGAAAGGGCGCGCATCTGGCTAATGCCACTGGCGGCCGCCGGCGCCGAGTCGGGAGTAACCTTTCTGCCAAGCTGCTCTTCGGCATCCTCGGTAGTGACTGTGCTGGTCCCGATTGTGCATTCCGTTACAGTCATGAGGTTCTGTTGAGAGTTAGCCAGTGTGATATTTGAAAAGTACAGCACTTGAAGGTCACCTGAGTAAGTGTTCCAGTCTTGTCAGAGCAGATAACCGAGACCGATCCCAGAGTCTCTACAGTCTTGAGCGATTTACACAGGACCTTGTTCTTCTGCATGATACCGGCGGTGATGGTGAGACCGGCCGTGACGGCAATGGGTAGACCTTCGGGGATAAAGGCAATGGCGACACTGACACAGCTGACAATGAGCATGGGCACACTGATCCAACCAGGATGCTCAGTGCGAAGCCACGCGCCCCAGACAATCAGTACAATGGCAATCATGGTAATCATGATGGAGCAAATGATTATGACAAAGTAGAGAACCTCGCGCTCGAGGGTGGTCATCTTGGCCTTGGGTTCATTGGTCAAGTTTGCGATCCGGCCAAAGACGGTACGGTCACCAGTGCCGACAACGATACCAGTACAGGTACCTGAAGTACAGTGAGTTCCCTGCAGACCAATGTTCTTGGTTTCCAGGTAGTTATCATCAGTCGAGTCGACAGTGGCGGCGAGCGGCACAGATTCACCAGTCAGGATGGACCGGTCAAATCTGGCATCACCCGAGACCTGGAGGAAGCGAATGTCGGCAGGAAGTTTGTTGCCAGCCTTGACGGTAACAATGTCTCCGGGAACCAGGTCAATGGCCGACATGGATGATTGCTTGCCATCGCGAATGACGAGACAGTCCTCGGGCAACATGTTCTTGATGCTCTTCATGACCCGAGACGAGCTAAAGTCTTGCCACATGTTGAAAGCAGCTTGAATGAAGAAGACGGCAACGAGGACAATGGCCAGAGCCTTGAAGAATTGTTAATTATACATTCGTCCACATCATCTTGAGCTGAGGCTTACCAAGTTTGCAATGGCCGGGTTTGGTTCACCGAGGGGTTTCCATGATACAAAGACGAGGACGGCACCGATGAGCAGGACAGGTCCGAAACCCTTGAACAGGTAGCCGAGATATTTGGAAAGAGTGTTGGACTTGGGAGGGGAGGGAGCATTGCGACCGAATTCCTTGAACTTGCGGGACACTTGTTCTGGGGAGAGACCGTGGGCAATCGACGAGCTCAGGCGGCGAAGAACCTCGTCGGTGGGGAGAGTGTGCCATTCGAGGGAGGACAGTTCTATTCAAACAAAGTCAACAACAATCATCAAAAACTTGAAACCATGAAATAAAGAGAAAAGAATAGTGTTACCTTTGGTAGCTGCGTCCTTTGCCTTTGCAGCTTCGACAGCATCCTTCGCCTTGGACTCTTCAATGTTGAACGACCTAGTGAGTTGATGGCGTGTAAGTGAGAGACCATCCATACTCGGTGTCGAACCAACACCAAGGGGCACAACTTACACAGTTCGGTACTGAATAGGGAGAGCAATGGAAGGGTCAACTTCACGACGGGATCGTACGCTGTGAATCGACATGGACCCTCTGGAGTTAGTACGACGCAGCTCGCGAGCAGGAAGGCCATTTTCGGCGTCATCCCCCCAGCGAATGCGCTCTGCAGCGCTCTGCTTCAGATCCGGCTCGTCCATTGCGTCTTGAACAAAACCAGGAGCTATACTCTGTGGAATTTTGTGCAAGAAAATACCCAGTTCACCCGGTCACGTTGAAGAAGCAAGTCACGAGTCGTGAAAGAAAAGGGATGATCGTCAGGGACAAGAAATTCAAAAAAGGAACGCGCTCTTTTTGTAAACAATATGCCCAGATATATATATAGTCTATATACAAAAAGCCCTCTCATGCAGCCCTGCATCCGGTCACGGTGCTGCAGCGAGCTCCTGGGAACCAACCTGAGAAACAGGATGCCATACTGTTAGATGTCTGGACTATCTGGCTCAAGACACAGTGCGCAGCCAGTGCAGTTTACGCAATCTTATGGGCAGTGAGTGAGAGCGAGACCATGCTTGGGATAGCCTAGGCGACTTACAAGGGATTGTGCGGTGAGCACCAGACAAGACCAGTCGAGCTTGAGGGATGATGACTGGGAGTGGGCATTGCCATTGAACCCATCGACGACTCCTCTATACGTGCAGAGTACAATGGCGAAACAGCGGCGAGGCAGCGTACAAAGTCTATGTGAGTCGAGTAGCCATCAAGTCTCGAGCTCCCCTAGGTTAGCTCGGTCCTCTACCGACTTCCATGTGCCTGTCTGCGTGCTGCCCGCCCCCGACTCATCACTCGCCTTGAGAGTCAAAAAATCCTGTCCAAGGCTCAGTCTTGTGCCAAGAAATCGCGCATCCAGGCTAGGGAAGCTCCGTCATATTGCTATAGGGAGGCTCTGGGAGTGCCCAGCCTGCATTAGTTATTAGTCGGAGTGATCTGAGGGGATAAAAATTCTTACCCACGGCGGGTGTTTTGTGCTGGGCGGGCGGAAAACACAGGCCCGCTGGGGGTGGGAAAATAGCTCCTTGTAGGTTGTACCTAGCCACTGCTCAGTGCTGCTGCTGCCCTGGCCCTAGGGGGGTTCGACAGCTGCTGGGTGTGGGCGTCGGTTGCTGTGCGAGTGGGAAATTTTGTTTTCTTTTGTGAGGCCTCCCTCTAGCCCCTCTTCCTACTCCTCCTCCCTTTTTCGCTCACTCAATCCCCCATCCCATCCCCCCATACATACTAGGTTAGCAGCATCACGCCTCGGCTCTCCTGCATTCAGGGTCCTTTTTCCCATGTTGTTTGTTTTGGGGTAGCTAAGAACTGGGGGAATCTCTTCCGGTTGGTCATGGCTTTCTTCGGTAACTGCCAATGGACCCATTCTTATTGGCTCCATTGTGCACGTTTCTACACACGGTTTACCCAATCCGGCAATATTCCAATGGCATGGCCAAAAGTTCGCTTCCGACAACCTGGCGGAGCTGCTCAAAGAAACATCAAGTCTCGCGTGCCAGCTCCATGCATGCATTGATGCTCCTAGCTGTTCTACTGCTTTTTATCATCATCATAATGTAATGGACCAAATATTCCGTCGTGCATTGCATTTGCATTGCATAACGCATCCTAGTTGGCTTGGATCTGGTGTCGTCACATCACATAGCATACGAAGCCAACAAACACTCTCCCAAGCCTACATCATCAAAATGAAACAAACGTGTACTGTACTCGATTAATGATGGTGGAGTTCGCTGTCTCTCTTTTCTTTGACCCTCTAGTGCCAGGGACAAGCAGGAAACTTGTTCTTTTTTCTTCAAAATATTGTGGCCATCCGCTTTTTGACCTAGCTAGATATAAGCTTTGCTCTAGAAAGATCGTGACATCTGGAAATCTCTAGTCAGATAGCCCTAACATGGCCACGGCACGGATGAGGTCTTTTGCCTGCCAATGCATGTGCCCTAATAAACACAATTAAACTCCTTCCTGTCCCCTCGCTAAGCGCTCAGGGCGCTGCCGGCTCTAATATCTGCAGTCCCCGGCTGGCACCTGGCTCGTGATTCTCCTTGCAGAACAAATGTACCAGTTTGGTCATAAGATGGCAATCCTTTATTCAGCTTCAAGTAAGACAAATCCTCCAATGTTTCCACCCACTCGATGAATTCGGAAGTTTGCTCCATGGCTGGCTGGGACCTGCAAATTCTGCCACGGTGGCGCCGAGAGTATAATATCTCTTAACCGGCATACCGAATATGGTCAAGCTGCGAGTATCTTTTTTAAAAAAAATTATTGAAATTGACGAGACCAAAAAGAAAAGGAGTCGGCCACGATTGCCGCTAGTATACTACAGGATAGGTCTATGAACTTACGCGGAACCAGGAAACCGGACTCGGGACTCTTCAAACAAACTAATAATAGTAGCTGTAACGTTGATGAATTAAACGTCCCCAAGAAACGTGGCAAGAACTAATAATGCCTTGGACACTCGGAGTCTGATGTCGCCGGAACCCTTTCTATTTACATCTACCATCCATAATCCCTTATCGTGTAGGGTCGATTGAGCGTCGAAGTTCTTTACGATATCACTCCTACACAGCCTGCTAACCCGGCGTAGCGAAAGCTGAGGCTTCTGGCCAGCTTTCTATTCAGCTCCTGAACATTCACTAATGAGTCCTCGTGCCCGAAGTCTCTGCATTCGTTACCGCATGCGCAGACCATCCTTGTCTGCGGCGTGAGCCATGTCGCCCAGGATCCCAAGCTTTGCTGAGAATGACAAGTCAATTATACCATCTATCACATGCATCGTTGATCAATTATGATGCGAGAGGAAGAAAGAAAATACATGGAAAAAGTTCAGTGGCAGAATGAAATAACCAATAAATTTGCTCCAGGGCATTACTACAGCAAGGAGAGTACATTGTCACTATCACAGCGACATACCAGCTTCCCATGGATGCAAATTTGATGGTTTGCACGGGACTGGCCCAACTCAAATTGCTCAGAAACAGTCAAGTAAGATTATAATATTGCGCTATCCAATGCCGCGTTTCACTAACTAGAGACTTAGGTTCAGTTGAGCATATGTTGGCCCATGGGCGTGAGTCATATTTCTTCGTCTGCGAACACACTGTTCCTTTATAGACCAAACATGAGTACAAAAAGCAAGACAACTTTCCCTCGACTTGATAGTTACTCAAAGAAAATAGGTCCCACCATACCAAGGCCACCGTTTTGCTACAAGTACACCTCATCCCACGACACGAAGCCTCATTCCCAAGATTCCACCTATGCCAATACAAAATCAACACAGCTCTCATACGTCTGCTGCGCCGACGTCCCGAACCAAAACCACTGCAAGACGCAATCACCGGCTTGCGCACACTGACCGGCCTCGAGCTGCGGGATAGTGACGGAAAAGTCGGTATTGTTGGCCGGCAGCGACGCCAGGGACTCGTCGGCGTAGCTGTCAAACTCAATCAGAGGGTCACCAATGACGGCGTTGGTCGCCGCGTCCACAATGGACACATTCATGGGCCCCTCGTGCGGAATGGGCAGAATCGCCGTCATGGCCACGACTTGGCCCGGGGTGAATGTCTGCACCAGGTCGACATTGTCTTCAAACGTGGCGCCACGGCAAAAGTCCAGTTGACCTAAGGGGACATGTCAGCGAATAGGGTTTCTTCGAGTGAGAGCAACAAATAGATGAGAGAGATCAACTTACAGGTAGCAGATGCCCCAGAGACGCTCTCCAACGGAATCGTTCCATCTGCTTCCACCGAAGCGACCGCCTGAGCACCACAAGCCGCCGCCATGGCCGGGCCCGGGAGACGTGCAGGCGGCGATGTAATGTTGCCGTGGGCCGATGCGCCCATCACAAGCAGCGCTGCCGCGCAAATAATCGAAGTCGACTGCATTTTTGAATAAGGCTTGAATACTAAGAACGAGTGACCAGCACAAGAAAGAAAAGGCAAAATTATATGTGCGAAATGAATGACAACAGATGACACAAAATCGCCGAGACGGACAAGACGGGACGAAAAACTTATCGACTCTCATCATATATATCAATTCCAAGAGATCGACCGGCAACCGGAACAGAACCTTGGATGACTTTTGACATTTTGAAACGGCGATCAATCTCAGTGGTTGGCATTTTTGCCGCTTCTGCGGATTGCCAAGATGTTTTCCCCAGCGGTTATGACCCCTGTGAGTTAGAAGATCGCTTCAGGCTTAATGCTGTGCCGCGGATTTCTGACACTACAAAAAAAACAAAAGAGTCGGGAAGAAGGAACTCACAGTCGTTTATTATTGCCATGATTTCCACGACTGATATAATTCGTATCTACTGCGATATACAAAGTTGTGCAATACGCACAAGCAAACAAATGAAGCCAAGACTCCAACTGCCGAAAGGGGCCACTTGCCGCACCACTGTTGGTCTGCCGCCCAGACGCTATAAATCACCGAGACCCGGCAGTTGACTTGAGGCTATCCTGCAATTAGCCTAGTGGTCGCTTATACCTGGCAGTACCTGTGCGTAGTATAACCCAAGGCCGAGAGAGAGAGAGAGAGAGAGAGAGAGAGAGAGAGAGTA